TCTGTTTCTCTCTTAGATAACATGTGCGATTGTGGCCGGGCTGCTTCATTTCTTCTTCTTGTCTGCGTTCTGCTGGATGCTGCTGGAGGGGGTTCAGCTCTACCGGATGGTTGTGCTGGTGTTTCATACCACAGTTAAACATCTCTACATGTATGCGGTGGGATACGGAGTCCCTCTCGTCATCGTCATTATCTCTGCTAGCACCTTCCCAAAGGGATACGGCACCGATCGACAGTGAGTTTCTGTATCCACTGCTGTTCAACTGTATTATTACACTCACCTAAAGGATAATTAGGAGCACCACACTAATACTGTGTTCGACCCCCTTTCGCCTTCAGAACTGCCTTAATTCTACGTGGCATTGATTCAACAAGGTGCTGAAAGTATTCTTTAGAGATGTCAGCCCATATTGATAGGATAGCATCTTGCAGTTGATGGAGATTTGTGGGATGAACATCCAGGGCACGAAACTCCCGTTCCACCACATCCCAAAGATGCTTTATTGGGTTGAGATCTGGTGACTGTGGGGGCCATTTTAGTACAGTCAACTCATTGACATGTTCAAGAAACCAGTTTGAAATGATTCGAGCTTTGTGACATGGAGCATTATCCTGCTGGAAGTAGCATCAGAGGATGGGGACATGATGGCCATAAAGGGATGGACATGGTCAGAAACGTTGCTCAGGTAGGCCGATGCCCAATTGGCACTAGGGGGCCTAAAGTGTGCCAAGAAAACATCCCCACACCATTACACCACCACCACCAGCCTGCACAGTGGGAACAAGGCATGATGATCCATGTTCTCATTCTGATTACGCCAAATTCTGACTCTACCATCTGAATGTCGAGACTCATCAGACCAGGCAACATTTTTCCAGTCTTCAACTGTCCAGTTTTGGTGAGCTCTTGCAAATTGTGGCCTCTTTTTCCTATTTGTAGTGGAGATGAGTGGTACCCGGTGGGGTCTTCTGCTGTTGTAGCTCATCCGCCTTAAGGTTGTGTGTGTTGTGTCTTCTTCACAAATGCTTTGCTGCATACCTCGGTTGTAACGAGTGGTTATTTCAGTCAAAGTTGCTCTTCTATTGGCCCATTCTCCTCTGACCTCTCGCATCAACAAGGCATTTCCGCCCACAGGACTGACCCATACTGGATGTGTTTCCCTTTTCACTCCATTCTTTGTAAACCCTAGAAATGGTCGTGTGTGAAAATCCCAGTAACTGAGCAGATTGTGAAATACTCAGACACCAACAACCATGCCACGCTCAAAATTGCTTAAATCCCCTTTCTTTCCTATTCTGACATTCAGTTTGGAGTTCAGGAGATTGGCTTGACCAGGACCACACCCCTAAATGCATTGAAGAAACTGCCATGTGATTGGCTGATTAGATAATTGCATTAATGAGAAATTGAACAGGTGTTCCTAATAATCCTTAGGTGAGTGTATGCGTGTGTGTATGTTAGGGATGGGCATGATTAATCAACGATCGATAATTGATCATCAAGTATTTCCTCGATCACGTTAATTTGTTATCGATTAAACTAATGCTGGTTGTGTTGTGTAGTGTGAGTGGAAGGCTGGTACCTGTGCATTGGTATCAGCAACCACCTGATCTCCAATAGTTCATTTTCTCCTTCGACTACTTCATGGTCAAACATCAACACATCAGATCATTCACGAGTATGAAAGGGGGAAAAGGGATTAATTAGTCTTTTGTGTGTGTGTGTGTAACCATGTGACTGGTTTATCATTCCAGCTGTTGGCTCTCTCTAGATGGTTATTTTATCTTGAGTTTTTTCGCACCCGTCTGCATCATCGTCCTCCTCAACTGTTTCTTCTTCATCATCACTGTGTGGAAACTGGCCAACAAATTCTCCAGTCTCAATCCAGACCTCTCCAAACTCAAACAGATCAGGTGTGTGTCAATTTTACTCAAATTCGTATACTATTGTAGTTTTTATTATTATTATTTTTATTGCAGGAGTTTTACGATGACCGCAGTGGCTCAGCTGTGTGTTCTCGGAGGGACGTGGGTCTTCGGCTTCTTCCTCTTCCAGGAGAACGGGACTGAAGTCATGTTGTACCTCTTCACCATCCTCAACAGCCTCCAGGGGGCGCTCATCTTCATCATGCACTGCCTGCTGTCCAAACCGGTACTGACAGCAGAACACACATGATGAATGGCCTTCAACACACTGAAGGTTTGGTAACAGGGGATTGTTTTGTATCGCGCATGATTTCAGTGATTCAAGTGACAGTTCACTCCCCCAAGAAGTCAAGTGTCCTGAAGTAGTGGTTGACTGATATATCTCAAAGGACTGATATTTGTCAGTTTTAAATGATTGGCATTGACCAGTGTTTTTCTGTTTGACTGACAAGTTTCAGAAGCAGCTTTTATTTTGACATCGATGGTACTTTTATTTTGACAGCGCTAAGAACACCAGCGTCTGAGTGCAGTTTCAAGCGTAGAAATCCTCGATTTAAAACTAATCATATTCATGTCATGTTCTCTGTGTACTGTATGTAAAATTAGCGTTACCTGCTCTTTATTTATGGATGTATATTTATATATGATTCCCAATGTGTAAATTACATCACATTACTGGGGGAACTGCTAGTTAAGTGTTAATTTCATCAAGTTGATCAATATTCTGAATGCAAGAAAGAAACTGTGATTTACTATTTAGTCAAACATAATTTGCTTTAGCTGTTTTGTCGCCCCCTTCAGGTCAGGACGGAGTATTACAACCTGTTTGGCCGTCCACATAAGAAGAAAGCAGAATACCGTGTCGGCCAGTCCAACAGCAGTCAGGTACAGTACGCTAGTGTGTGTGTTTGAGTGTTTTAATGCTGTGTTTGTGTCTTCAGCTTCTTCATTATTTCACAGAAACCTCTGCGGAGCGACGGCAGCACAGCCGAGTCACAGATGTAAAGTGCTGCTGGGTTTTTACAAACTCCTGAACACAAGATACATAGACACTTTCTACGACAAACAAAGACTTATCAAATAGCTTCAGTTTAAGTTTTCCAGTCAGAAAATGTTTTATTGCTTTGAGGGAGATCTTGACATGATTATGCCACTAAAAGAGTTTTAAACAGCCTTAAAATAATCCTTAAAGGGGTGATGAACTTGAGCTTTTAATATCTAAGAGGTCATATAAGAATATCATGTAAGTTTCAGAACTGAAAACGTCCTTGTTAGTCCAATAAAAGCTTTTATTGACACCAGGCTCAGCAAACGACTCGTTTTTCAAAGTGGGGAACTATGACGACAGAGGATAAAACCCCACCCCCGCAGAAGAAGATCGATGCCTACTTCAACACGGCCCGGTTAAGCCCCGCCCACCGATTCGCACATTACACGCATAGTCAAATAACATAGATGCCTACCTCGTGATTCCAAACCGGATCGAGAGTTAAACTCATTATAATATGCAAAACTGTTATCCACTCACAGCAGTGGGCGTTTACTTCCAAGTCTTCAGTGCGACACGCCCATAAAATTAAGCGTTTTTGTGTTGGGCTCAAAAATAGGGTCGAAAATAGCCTATTACTTATTCATTTTGATGTTTTTGAATGTAAAAACCAAGCAAACGTCATAAGTTGACCTCAAACGACAGTACAAAACAAATTAAAAAGCCAGTTCATGACCCCTTTAAGAAGTCTGGAAAATGAAAGTGAAACAGTATTTGGGTGTTAAACAGATCTGATCTGAGAGACTGGGGAGTAGTATATATAAGGCAGCTATTTATGGATTTATGGTTTTGACAGATGTTTATGACAGGATATGTGCATGGCAGGGGTTAATGAGCAGCAGATGGTACCGGTGTGTGTGTGTGTGTGTGTGTGTGTGTGTGTGTGTGTGTGTGTTTGACGGTGATCTGCTTTGGGAACTGTTAGGAATGTTTTTCAGGGAAAGTTTTTATTCTACCAGGATAATGTTGGCAGAGCAATGAAATTATGAACATGAAGAGAAATAGAAAATAAAGGCATAGAAAATAAAACATATATTACATTTATTAAACAATTAAAAGTAAGTTTTTTAAACTTAATGAGGAGATATTTATGCGTTTATCTGCGTTAATCTTAAATCTTTCTGAACAGATGAAATGTCACAAATGAGGTTTTTCACAAATAAAAAGCAATAAGATTGAACATATTTTATTTTCTATGCCTTATTTGTTATCCACGCTATACTTTAAACTCTTTCTCATTCTCCCTCAGGCAATACACTGCTCCATCTGAAAATCATATCCATGTCAGACCTCCTCATGTTCATAATTTCATTGCTCTGCCAACATTATCCTGATATAATAAAAACTTTCCTATACTGTTAAAGAGGTCCGGATGAGTCGTTAAGCCGAGATCCTGACTCACAAACAAACCCAGGATGTCCTCTGTAAAAGAGTAGGAGTGTAACCCCGGCCAAATCTGCCCGTCCATTCTAATCATCCCTCCAGACAGATGGTTAAAAGAATAAATCGACATATTTATTTTGCATAACAATATAAAGATTACAATACATTTAAGACATACTATCACACGGTGTCCTAACTACACGCGACGCCGCGACACGCGATATCTTTTCCATGTTAATCATTGTTTTTGTCCTAACCAGACGCGACGGCGACACGCGAAGTTTCTAATTTAGAAACGGTTCCTATTTCTGCGACGTCGATCGCGGCTGACAGAATGAATTTATGAGTACACATTATTTATTTTTAGTTAAAAATAGGTCGCTGTGCCACAAGCGATAACGGATAATTTACCTCAGATTTTGAAAGCAGATAATATAGCGTTCAAAATGAATTCTATGCAAACGTACAACTGTACTTCATAACAAAATTAGTCAATGAGTATGTTTTGTTAATGTTTTGATTATTAATAACGTTATTTCTTGATTTGTTTATGTCCTTACCCATTTCCAATGCGAGTGCGGGCCAACAGTGCGCTTTCTGCATGGCTGTGATTTTTGAGTGTGGCGTCTCACAGTCGCGTCGCGTCTATAGTGTGGACGGACAGACAGACTTGCTGTCGCTGGAATTTTATCGCGTTGCGTGTAGTTAGGACACGATGTTATGTTCAAATATACAATCGAAACACAGCAAATCAAACCAACATCAGACAAGACACAAAAAAATAAAAAAATAAAAGAAATGACAAATACAAATACAAACACAATGAATTATATAGCCTAATGAATTATAATTATTATTATAAACATCTGTCAAAACTATAAATCACTTTTTGACACCAGCTACCTTACCGGTATATATAGCCTAGCCTACTACTCTGGGGTTATTAAATAAAGCATGATATTGTCTGTTTGTGTACTAATATTTCACAAGTTTATTTTAAAATGTTAAAAATGTATTTTGTTCCCAATAATCCGTAAACATCTGTACTGAGACACAGTAGGTCTGATTTCTACCGTTTTTTCCTAACTTATGCCTCCATTTCACAGGAGTGTAACTGACCAGAGAGTTACACTGAATGTGTTTATATGGTAAAAAGGCTCATTTGTAAGTTTTGTCAACTCATTTGTCTGCAAAATTTGTGCACATGAGAAGAAATAACCACACTTTACTGTAGCAACAACCAGGTCAGTTACTGTCAGGTAAATGTGTGTGTTCAGATTAATGAGGAGGTTTTTCTGGATCTTAAAGTACTTTAAAAGGCAATCACTTTCGAAACTTCTGCCAATTTTCAGAATCGATTTATTTTCTTTCATCTTTCTTATCTTTTCCATTTTTTGGGAACACAAACGTGTCACTGTCAACCATTGCTTATTCTGATCACTTATCCTGGGCTTTGTGTTGTTTTTCCTGTTGATTTTATAAATGATGCATGTGTGTTTCCGAGGGTTAACGTTTGTTAATTTCTTGGCTGCCATTTGCAAATATTTGATACAGTTTAATAGTTTCTGTTTCGTTATAAACATTTGTTGTTTAGTGTATCAGCTTTCCTCTTGTATTGTTGTCATGGCAGGGACATTTATTCATCCGTATTGAAGTTTTAATAAAGTAGGTCCTCATAAACCTTGTTTGCCATGACTATAGAATTGTGTAATTATTTTGGCAGTGAATGTTCTGGGTGTGTTTTGAAGAGCTGGAGATCTGGAAATCACAGACCGAGAGCAGCATCTCTGATACGAGCAGGAAAACAGCTGAACGTAGTGGAAAATAATGTCCAGCTGGAACAAATAACAGGCTAGAAATAACCCTTAAAGACTTTAAGACTGTCAGGACAATTTCATATCTCATAAAAATATTTCAAGACTGAAAAAGCTGCTATCTGTCTCCTAATGGAGCTAAAATGGACACTTCTTTTTGGTGAGTATTGCCTATTTTTTTGCTCTGTTCACATGAAAAAAAATTTCTGACGCACTGAAGTTGTATTAGTAGTCAGACAGATGTAACAGAACTGTGCCCATCTGTGTTATACAAGACATTTTTTGTTAGAAATTTGAAACCAGACTTTGAGGATATTTTATCACAGCGCAGTATCGCAGTGTTCCCGTTCCTCTCTATAGACCAACACACCCAGAAATCACCCCCTGTGTTAGAGAGACTGACAATGACTGTGAAATATTGCACAGAGTAGTTTTTTTAACCACCCACTCGCGATAAAACAAAATATAGTTTCGTCAAAGTGGCACTCAAAATTACAATTTCACATTCGCAATAAATCCGTGCAGGTTTTATGTTTCTAAACTAGCCAACTTGGTATTAAAACTGAAGTTTAATAAAAAATAAAAAAACATTAAAAATGCAGTAAATATTTGAATGAGGCTCTAGATCTTTACAGTCTATGGTCTTCACACGTTCCTTTCAACTAGACGAGCAAAATCAATTAAAATGCATTTAACTTCTAATACATTTTTTTTAAGAAATCAAAACGAATATGAATCGCTGTGACTGTTCACTTTTAAACTGTGAGAACACGCAAAACTGCGAATTCCTGTGGAGAAATGTGGAGCGTGGAACAAAAAAAGCGCTGGGACATTGAAGCAAGTTAAGCACAGATGCAATAATGTTACCAAATTCAAGGTTATTTTGGTTAATAGTTATAGCCGGACTATATTGGGTCTATAACCAAGACGGTGAAATGACGGCTACTTCTTGCCGGGAAGCATCAAACGTTAGCTGAAGTAAAAATTATAGCTAAAAAAACGTGATCGTGCATTTTTACTATCGCTGTATTTTTTTTTCTCTTCCCAGGTCTCTTTCTGCCGTCATCTATGTTTATAAGGACAACAGATACGTTTGAGTCGACCACAGATACGCTTAATTTGTCTGAGATACCTGGGTCTGAGAGCACAACTGAAATACTTGCTACGATATTACCTGAGAGCAAAACTGAAGTGTTTGTTAGCATCTCATCACCTGATATGGACTTTCAGAACACTAGCTCTGATTCAAAATGTAAAGGTGCCTCTTATCCTATTATATTATGCTAATATTGTATAATATAATATAATAGCCTATAGACAATGCTATGTCTATTCTGCTTTTCCACATTTTCCACTTTAGTTAGGCCGTGTGTCCACCAAAGTGTTTTTCCACGCGCCTGGCGTATGTTTTCAATTGTTTTCAATGGGAGCGCAGCGTTTTTTAAAGTCCCCGTGAACCGGAAGTTGCAAACGATTTTTCTCCAGTGCTGTGACGTATTTCCAAGTGAAACGGAATATTGAACAGAGGGCAGGGTTTTACTCTAGCGCTCCTCCTCTCCATCTCTCGCTCATAGCAAACTAACGGTTTGAGGGGAGTGGTTAAGCGTTTCCCCACCCAAACTGTGAAACCTACGTCATCAGAAAAAGAAACCGTTCCAGACCGGAAGTAACTTTTCAGATTTTGATTAAAGATTACTAAGGTAAAATTTTTTTTTTAATATATATTCACTTGCACGGATTAATTGTTCACCACAAGACTAGTAATATGCGCTAACAAAGTAAATAGGTTCAATTTTGATTTCACGGGGACTTTAAACACCATGAGCGTACCGAGGCACTGAGCGTATTTTTTTCATGCTGAAGCGCCGAGCACCCGGCGTTTTTACTGGTCGCTGGGAGCTGAAAAATATTCAACTTTGGATAAAACGCAGCGCTCATCACTGTCACTTTTTACCCAGCCTTCCAATCACAGTGGAGGAGGGGCGGGACTAATACCACACCGACCAACTGTCAACATTCAAACTGCTGCGGATATTCTGTATCATAGCAACGAAATGTTCTCAACGGAAAAAAACGCTGCGCTGCCACAACGCTCTCAAGCGCCCAAAGCACGGCGTCTTCAGCAGAGCGTCTAGCGTTTTCAGCTGGCTAAAAACGCTTTGGTGGACACACGGCCTTAGTGTGTAATGTTGCTGTTTGTAGTTTCCAAGAACTACAACGAACAACGTTTGTACCTGTCCTCTACGTTTTTTTTTTTTTTCGGGCTTTGTATACCCCCAAAAAGGTGCTAGGCCTGGTTGAGCTGCATAATGCTGCATTCACACCAGACTGGAATAGCGCGCCTGGCGCGAGTGATTTCAATGTCAATGCGTTATGCGTGTAAAAAAATCCTGAGGTGCGAATGAGGCTTAGAGCAAATGAGGCTTGACGTGGTAGACGCAAATATGAATGAGGCGTAAAGCACGGCGTGGTAGACGCAAATATGCCTCATTCACGCATCAAGTTTGTGCGAATGGCGTGAATTGAGCGTCTGACGCAATACGCGCGTATGATTTTATTTAGTGGTTTTTGTGCATTCACGTGTTTGACACGAATTCGCGTCTGCCGCCCGAGTTGAAAAATCTGAACTTATGCGTCAGTTTGCACCGCATTAATCAATCAGTCACGCGGTGAAGTGATGGGATAAACGGCCCGCTTTTCAGTTTATAATGTTTATATGTTTAGCCTCAATGGATTATTTTATATGTTTGGTGTGGTTCTAATGCACAACAAAGCAAATATTTTATCACATAAAAACTTGATTTCAGTATATGAGAAATATTCATTTTGTATTGAATGCTATTTTTTCCGTATCTAATCTAGATTATATGAAACATTATTATTCAAATGTAAAGACAACCGACTTAGGCTACTATTACATATAGTTCGTGTCTGGACAATGTTGTGTGAGGAACAAAAAATCACAGGACAGGTTAATCACTTTTGGAGGCCAACCAATCACAGCACACTGGGTCAGCTAACCAATCACAGCACACTGGGTCAGCCAACCAATCACAGCACACTGGGTCAGCCAACCAATCACAGCACACTGGGCCAGCTAACCAATCACAGCACACTGGGTCAGCCAACCAATCACAGCACACTGGGCCAGCTAACCAATCACAACACACTGAGCCACACTAGTCAAATGACATTGATAGATTTTAATCAAGACAATCTATTTTTTCATTGGCCCGAAGCCAATCACAACATTTTTAGAGCTTCAAGAAATAAGAAAAAGTTGCGGTCACAATTGTGAGCGGTGGGATTACACGTAATGTTCTCTCACCCAATCATTTCTCTCTCTCTCTCTCTCTCTCTCTCTCTCTCTCTCTCTCTCTCTCTCTCTCTCTCAGACATCGATGAGTGTAAAGATCCAGATGTTTGCGGCACAAACGCAGTCTGCATAAATCTTCCAGGCAGCTTCATCTGCGAATGTCACCCGGGTTACAGTAACTACGGCAACAACCAGTCAAAATGCACCGGTGAGAATTACAGCAGGTTCTGTTCATTAACAGCTAATGAGACTCTTGTAGAAGTTAATCAGCGCACTGTAGTCTTTTTACTTATTTTGATCTTTGCTGATGTTGTGCACAGAAATGGACTGTGATCAGTTTAAACCTCGACCTGATGCAGAACACACACCGGAGAAGGTAGAGTGTGTACTTCTGCTTATTATGATTGTTATAATTATATTATTATATTATTATGTTAAGATAAAACATTCTTAAATATTTAATACGTGTTCTCATTTCTTTTTGGAGAGTAAACGTTCTTAAAACTAGAGTTGCCACTAAACTGGAATGTGTAACTTCGATACGGTACTTGAAAGTATCGATATTCAATACTATTTTTTATACCACAGAGAAAACTGCCATATAGTGTTTTTTTTTTTTTTTTAATCATAATTGTTTGAAAATTGTATTACACACAACACAGGGAGGTTTTATTTTAAACTTTTTAAAACTAGAAAAATAGAATTTTATTTCTTTGTCTTCCTTTAGTTGAAGCATTTGATGTCACTGTTGAAGAACAGCTGTGAGTCTCTGAATGACACACAGGGAGAACATTTGACCGGGAAGGAGTTACTGGAGGTTAAACACACACTGAATGATATATTCTCATAGTAGTTTGTGTACATGCACTTGCACAATGGCTGAATGAAATTAATTTCACAGAACTTGTGCAATTCAACTAATGAACTCCTGTCGGATGAAAAAATCGCTGACGGCGAGACAATGAGTCAGTTTCTGGACACGGTGGAGAAAGGCTTGCGTCTGATTGGACCTCAGCTTAAAGAGCCTGTGAGCAGGATGGAGACGCACAACACCTGTGAGACACAAACATTTACAGTTTACACATTATCTCACTGTGTTACTGAGTGGAAATACTGCGTTTTAAATGTGCAAAACATGTAACTGATATTGAGTGCTGGAGGTACTGAAAGCAGTTGTTCTGTGTGATCATGTGATTCACAGTCGCTGAGGTTGCAGTCAGGCGGGGTCAGGCTCCGCCCAGTGGGCGTGTCATTCTGAGCACAGACTCCGCCCTCCTCAACTCCAGCTGGGAAACAGTTGTTGGGAAATCATATCCAGGTACAAATACACACATGCACATATATGTACTTATGAAAGCATCAGTGCATTCAAGACCAGATGTGACTGTCGTCTTTTAGGTTTTGCGTTTGTGGCGCTGGTCAGTTATAAAGATATGAACTCATCCAGCGATCAGTTTCACACGATGAGCAGAGAGAGATCAGATGATAGAGACAGAAAAATCACTTATCAACTCAACTCGAAGGTGGTGACGGTGGTCGTCAGTAATCCCGAAACCAAACAGCTGTCTGAGCCGGTGACGCTCATCTTTACACACGAGCAGGTGAAGATGTTAATCAGTTGAGTAGTTAAAAAAAAAAAAGAAAAACCACATAAATATGCATTCCCTGTTTGAAAATCTGGTTTAAGCTGGATTCTTGCTGGTTCACCCTATTATGTTCCAAAAACCAGCTTGACCACATTAAGCTGGTGTGACCAGCAAGTAGCTGGTTTGTTTCTGGCCCAAGATGCTCCACCAGTCTTATTTTAGTATCATTGATTTATTACTATAAGGGGTCTGATGAAACACTCCGTTTGATGATACACAATATTGGGTTCATGCTAAAAAGACAAGATTATATTTTAATATTATTTTTTAGAAATCTTCAATGATGAAATATATGACTGAAAAAATTTCGGTTAAAGTTATTTTATTCGACTGAAAGACAAAATGCTAAATAATGCAGTATAGCATTTTGAAACAAATTTAAGGCTGTCTCTAATGATTTTTTGGTAATCGAGTACTCGGTCAATTTTTTTGACGAATAATTGAGTACTCGGTCGATTATTTTGACGAATAATCGAGTACCCGGTCAATTATTCTGACGAATAATCGGGTACTTTCTCAATTAATTTTGACGAATAATCGAGTACTCAGTCAATTACTTTGGCGAATAATCGAGTACTCCGTCAATTATTTTGACGAACAATCGAGTACTCAGTCAATTATTTTGACGAATATTTGAGTACCCAGTCAATTATTTTGACGGATAATCGAGTACTTGGTCAATTATTTTGACGAACAATCGAGTACTCAGTCAATTTTTTTGACGAATATTTGAGTACCCAGTCAATTATTTTGACGGATAATCGAGTACTCGGTCAATTATTTTGACGAATAATCGAGTACTCGTCAATTATTTTGACGAATAATCGAGTACTTGGTCAATTATTTTGGCGAATAATCGAGGAAAATAAAATGCATCATGTCATGCTCTGTCTTGTCTATCAGCGCTTTGTCCGTGACCTCTTTGCTCTGCGATGTTGCTTTTTATCTTGACAAGAAATATCGTCATGTTTTATTATCGCAAGATCAGATCTCGTGTCACTTCCAACCTCTTAGAAGTTTTCAAGCTGGTGTTCACTTATTTTTTATTTTCTAAACGGTTCTTCTCACTTCTTCAGGAGAGGGCGGAGTCTGAGGGCGTGGCTCATTCCTGTGTGTTCTGGAATGAGGCGGAGGGGGCGTGGTCTGGGCGGGGCTGTGAGAGGGTGTGGTCTAATGACACTCATACAAAGTGTTCCTATTCTCATCTCAGTAGTTTCGCTCTGCTCATGGCCCTCTACCCTGTCCAGGTACATCTGTGACATATTTCAGATTTGAGACTTATTTATGACGATATTAACCCGTCGGTTTGCTCTTCCTCTCCCTCAGGACTCGTTTGAGCTGGTGTTGATCACTCGTGTGGGTTTAGTTCTGTCTCTGCTCTGTTTATTTCTCTGTATCCTGACGTTTCGGTTCTGCCGCTCCATCCAAGGAACCCGAAACAGCATTCATCTTCATCTGAGCGTGTGCCTCTTCATCGCAGACCTCGTCTTCCTCTGCGGGATCTCCAGCACTCACGATCAGGTGTGTTCGAATGAGAAAACAAGTGTCAGTTGTGAAGGAATTATTTGGAACTAATAAATGTCAACACTTTCCTTTCCTTTTAAAATGCTCCTAATCGAAAGTCCCGTTGCTCCATATTACTGATATATCACTGATGCCATTGCCCTCTCTTATGAGGTGTGCAGTATGGCTTCGCTTTTAGGGGTTAGGGTTCACTCTACTGGGAGAGTGGCTCTTGCCAAGGGTTTGTGCTGCAGCAGGATGGTCATCATCACATGTTTTTAAAATGTTATATCTTGGACACTGATTCGACACCAGTGGCGCATTACAGAAAGATCCTAACTTTAAAATCCTTTCTGATCTGTTTGGTAACCATGCAATTTCAGTCAGGACCTCATTTAGGATAGAGGCTATTTCTTAAGTGCATGATCTTATCTTAACTACAGATAGGAAAAGGGTGATACAGAAGCATCCTAACTCCCCCAAAAATCCTAAAAGCTGTCTTAACTTTGGGACAACCCCAATGGTGTCCTTACTTCAAAATCATTTGAAAGCCAACTATAAACATCACACAAAAATGTGATGGGGAAAAAAGGAGACAGTGCTGAAGCTAATCAGCATTTGGGGATGATTAGGAGGCCATGATGGACAGAGGGAAATGGGCAAATTTGGCCAGGACACCAGGTTTACACCCCTACTCTTTTCCAAAGTACATCCTGGGATTTTTTTTGGCCACAGAGAGTCAGGATCACGGTTAAACGTCTCATCCGAAGGACGGTGCTCTTTGACAGTAGAGTGTCCCCGTCACTTTACTGGGGCATCAGGACCCACACAGACCACAGGTTGAGCGCCCCCTACTGGCCTCACTAACACCTCTTCCAGCAGCAAGGTTCAGGCTCAGCCCTGCTTAGCTTCAGTGGGCAACAACTCTTGGGATACTACAGGGTGAAACGGCTGCTGGATATAAAATGTTATTGTAATCAATTAGAACTGATCAGATAGGTCTGTTTCTCTCTCAGGTTGGGTGTGCGATTGTGGCCGGGCTGCTTCATTTCTTCTTCTTGTCTGCGTTCTGCTGGATGCTGCTGGAGGGGGTTCAGCTCTACCGGATGGTTGTGCTGGTGTTTCACACCACAGTTAAACATCTCTACATGTATGCGGTGGGATACGGAGTCCCTCTCGTCATCGTCATTATCTCTGCCATCTCTTTTCCGCTGGGATACGGCACCGATCGACAGTGAGTTTCTGCATCCAATGCTGTTCAACTGTATAAATATGTGTGTATATATACATATAAAAGCGCTACATGAATAATGGTAAAAAAAAAAAAAACAACTAATAAATATAGCTGCGAGCAGCAATAACGGGTTGGCTCTCTCTCATTCCAGCTGTTGGCTCTCTCTAGATGGTTATTTTATCTTGAGTTTTTTCGCACCCGTCTGCATCATCGTCCTCCTCAACTGTTTCTTCTTCATCATCACTGTGTGGAAACTGGCCAACAAATTCTCCAGTCTCAATCCAGACCTCTCCAAACTCAAACAGATCAGGTGTGTGTCAATTTTACTCAAATTCGTATACTATTACAGTTTTTATGATTATTATTTTTATTGCAGGAGTTTTACGATGACCGCAGTGGCTCAGCTGTGTGTTCTCGGAGGGACGTGGGTCTTCGGCTTCTTCCTCTTCCAGGAGAACGGGACTGAAGTCATGTTGTACCTCTTCACCATCCTCAACAGCCTCCAGGGGGCGCTCATCTTCATCATGCACTGCCTGCTGTCCAAACCGGTACTGACAGCAGAACACACATGATGAATGGCCTTCAACACACTGAAGGTTTGGTAAAAGGGGATTGTTTTGTATCGCGCATGATTTCAGTGATTCAAGTGACAGTTCACTCCCCCAAGAAGTCAAGTGTCCTGAAGTAGTGGTTGACTGATATATCTCAAAGGACTGATATTTGTCAGTTTTAAATGATTGGCATTGACCAGTGTTTTTCTGTTTGACTGACAAGTTTCAGAAGCAGCTTTTATTTTGACATCGATGGTACTTTTATTTTGACAGCGCTAAGAACACCAGCGTCTGAGTGCAGTTTCAAGCGTATAAATCCTCGATTTAAAACTAATCATATTCATGTCACATTCTCTGTGTACTGTATGTAAAATTAGCGTTACCTGCTCTTTATTTATGAATTTATATATGATTCCCAATGTGTAAATTACATCACATTACTGCGGAAACTGCAAGGTAAGTGTTAATTTCATCAGAAAATTAATTTAAGTTGATCAATATTCTGAATGCAAGAAAGAAACTGTGATTTACTATTTGGTCAAACACAATTTGCTTTAGCTGTTTTGTCGCCCCCTTCAGGTCAGGACGGAGTATTACAACCTGTTTGGCCGTCCACATAAGAAGAAAGCAAAATACCGCGTCAGCCAGTCCAACAGCAGTCAGGTACAGTAGCCTACGCTAGTGTGTGTGTTTGAGTGTTTTAATGCTGTGTTTGTGTCTTCAGCTTCTTCATTCTTTCACAGAAATCTCTGCGGAGCGACGGCAGCACAGCCGAGTCACAGATGTAAAGTGCTGGTGGGTTTTTACAAACGCTTCAAGGCACTTGAACACTTTCGGCAACAAATTAAGACTTCCACAAAGGGTTGTTGTCATCCGATGAATAATGCAGATGTGGGTTCATCATATAGCCTAGTGCATTTGCCAACGAGACAAAAAAAAAAATGTATCCAATGCAAATGCAATTACTTTATTATCTTTAATCTTTGTCTGTTATATTTCACAGTGTTATTTCATATTTCACTCCTAATAGTCTATTTATAAATGCATTATAATTAATGCTATATCTATGGATTATATCTAGTCTATACTAGAATAGATATAATGCATAGATATAGCGGTAAATACTAATATTTCCCAAAAAATATATATTAAAATGCTTTTTCCAACTCATTTTGTCCTGTTATTATGCTGATAATTTTACTGAGAAACAGTAGTCCTGATTTTTAGTCTTTCTAACTTGTTTTTTCTCTTGTTTCTGCCTCCATTGAATAACGACCAACTGTTATTCTGAGAAAGATGTCTGTTATATTATATTATATTACATTATATGTAAGGTAAGATTTAAATCTGAGGTCGTGTGAAAGGCAAATAATCTCATTTATCTCGTCAACTTTAAAAAAAAAACAATTCCTTTCCCCTTAACACTCCTTTATCTGGCTTCTGCTACGAAATGCCTGAACTCAACTTGTATTTTGAGCAGTTCTTGCGTTGTTTTTGCCTCTTCGTGATGACTCGCTTGCCTTAGTCCTCATTTGTAAGCCGCTTTAGACAAAGGCGTCTGCTAAATGACTAAATGTAAAGTTATAACACTGTGCGCGCTGTGTTATGTCTCCCCCTTCAGGACAGAGGGAGTATTGCGAACAGCGAAATCTGTGCACGTGGGAAGAAACTGCCACAACCAGTCCAGTAACAGTCAGGAAAATGAACAATTGGTAAAACAAAAAGGTAGTAAATAGAAGTGGTGAAAACTGTGAACAACCCTTTTAAAGTGTCTCATATCTGTTAAACATTTTAACTATTATGAAATCAAACATATTGCAAAATATTATACTATTTCTACATTGAGTCATTTATTAAAATGACTTTGCGTACATGATCCTGATCTTACTGACGTTTTATAACTTAATGAGAACGTGATCAATACGTTGTTAGCACATATTTTGTTGTGAGCTGAGACAGTCCCGCATTTGTCGCAGGGTTGAGTTCTGACAGGACCCCAAAACAGCCAGTCTAGACACGCAGAACCCGTAGACCCGTGATTGACGGCGGAGTCCACCAATGAGAGCGGAGCTTCTGGGGTTGGAGGCGGGGCTTACAGGCTTAGGAACGCGCACAGTGAGCCAAGTGAGAGTTCGCCAACGTAAATTAAGGGTTATGTGTCATATTCTGTGGAAAGTCTATCCGTTACAGACATTTCTCAATAAGTTCTCGTCAACTGGTGTAACTTTCAGGCTTTCTGAGGAATTTCTGTGGTCAGAGGATTGAACAGCGGACAAAACCAAACGGGGCGCAGGCAAGTGCGTTTCATGAGCAGTGAGGTTATTATACGCTACGCAATGCTTAAAATGTAACTTATTTAGCTGATTCTTCAGTTAGCATAAGGTTTTACAATAATGGATGATGAAAAATGTTTTTATTCCATTCATTTTACCTTTACAGAATAGATTAAAAGATTTTCTATTGAAGATTTTAAATGAGTTTTTTTTGTCAGAATAATTTAAACATTTTCAATTTAGTATTTATAAAATTGATCATTTTTGTCGTAAAGATAAATGCTGCTGTCAAGTATTTTAGAGAATAATTGATTTTATTCATAAACTTTTCTTATTGAAATGAGATGTGGAGCAGAAACAGATTTTCAATGTCCGTTATGTAATTTATTTTAAGATTTTTTTTTTTGATACATTAGCTGACATTACCGAAACCTTCAGTATATGAGAATTGTAATTCAATATAATAATAGCTGTAATAGCAAGACTAGGTTCAAGGCTCATCCAATTATTAAAAAAAAGAAAAAATGCTATCACACGTCATTACCCAGATTTACTAATAATTAGCATAACAAGGTTAAAATTTAGATGGAGGTCAAAGGGATAATGTATAGCACGTAGATTTCAGGTCTTCTAACTGGTAACTCTTGTTTTCACCTTTCACTGGTTCATTTTAGGCCATGATGTGTCAGAATAACACTTTAGAAGGACAATCCTCCATGTAGTTCCTCAATGAACGTGTGTAATGGTTTTGTCCGGTCCTCCAGGATGGGTGCTGGAGACGGGTTCCGGGCCCCGGTGGCGCTGATCGCTGCCGGGTTAGTGAGTGTCCTGGGGCTCTCGTGGCTCTGGAGTTTGGTGGCACTTTTAGGAGTTTATTTGTGTTCTGGAGGATGGTGGTTTCTCTATGTGGCCGCGTGCACCATCAAAAGAGACATTATGTAAGTACAACCTTTCTCTCACTTTGCTTAGTCGTGTTGTTTGGACCAGTGGGTGATCTGACGATTAAAAATAAATAAATAAAAGTTATTAAAAGCCTATTGAAGTGCGAAAGAGTCTGATTCCCATGAGAAAAGTCTTTTCCGAGTATTTACATATATAGTCAGTTATGTCTTAAGGGGAATAAACAGAAGGGAAATATATTGGATGTGTGTCAGTATATTAGATCCATTAAAGCGTAAACAGCAAAACTGACTTGACTGAATAACTTTAGTAGTTTTAATAAGAATCAGTGTTTTAAAGTTGACCTCAGGGTTTAATGACTATTTTGACAGCTGATTGTTTTTAAATTGTGCAAAAGTCTTGACATTCTCGATACTGCATCTCAAAATTGGAAAGATCGCGATCGGATCCTGGATTGTGGAAGATCGTAATATGAAATTTTGAGATGACACGGAGGAAATTGAATAGGTGGTCACATCTAGCGTCCATCTTTAGTCATGAAACCTGTTCAATAGAACTTACAAACACATACGTAAAGGTACTGCACTGTAAAAAAAATATTGTTGGTTTAACTTAAAAAAGTAAGTAACCTGGGGTGCCTTAAAATTTTAAGTTGATTGAACTGGAAAAAGTGAGTTAATACAATGAAGGAGAATGATTTAATCAGAAACTCAAAATTATATGTTATCTGAACTAAATAAATTATTTAAGTTGATTTGACAAAAGAAAAAAATGTTGTGATTACTACACTGTAAAAAAATATTGTTGGTTTAACTTAAAAAAGTAAGTAACCTGGGTTGCCTTAAGATTTTAAGTTGATTGAACTGGAAAAAGTGAGTTAATACAATGAAGGAGATCAGAAACTCAAAATAATAAGTTATCTCAACTAAATTAGTTATTATAAAGTTGATTTGACAAAAGAAAATATGTTGCGATAACAAATATTTTTTGCAGTGTGTATGTACGTTTTCCACTCTACTAAAGCATACAAATACCATAATAAGTTTACATATATTGAGGAAACATGCTAAGTTCAAGTACTGGTTAATCTGAAAACACTTCTAAAGCCAGTTATTTTACTTTGAAATGTGTGTTTCACTCGCGAGTCGAGTCTGTGGAGGCGGGAGAAACGAAGATCTCCGATATTTTGAATTTGGACTGCAGTACCTATTTTCACCACTAGTCATGTTACAGACTGCCCCTTTAACTGTGTCTTTGTGTCTTCCAGTGGTCTGTACGTCCTGCTGCGTGTGAAATTGATCATGGATCATTATACCCGTACACGCAGCACCATCCCCTCCATATTCGCCCAGCAGGTGGCGCTCCACCCGGACAAACCGGCTCTCATCGAGGAGTCCACGGGCGAGGTGTGGAGCTTCTCGGAGCTGGACCGGCGCTCTAACGGTGTGGCGCAGTGGGCCGTCGCGCAGGGCTGGGCGTCGGGCGACGTGGTGGCCATCTTCATGGAGAGCCGCCCGCCCATGGTGGCGCTGTGGCTCGGACTGGCTAAAGTGGGCGTGGAGCCGGCGTTCATCAATTTCAACCTGCGCCGTGATTCGCTGATGCACTGCGTGAACGCGTCGGGGGCGCGCGGGATGGTGTTCGGGGCCGAGCTTCTGGACGGTGAGATGCGCTTTACTTTGTTCGTCTGTTCGCAAACTAAACTGACGGGATTTTTTTTTCAATTACTAGACACATTTAGTGAGAAGTGTGTCTTAATATTTAGGGGTGTAACTATATATAATCATAATATATCACAATACAAAAGAACAACTATGTGTATCGTGGATAGTTCTCCTGAAATGAAAATTACTGTGCGAGAAAAACTTCTTTTTAGTGTTTTAGTGTCAGTACTACATTAAACTACTATATGTAATGTGTAATAGGGAATATTTATTTTATTTCAGTAAAACGTTAATTTATTTGTAATTATGAGTTTTAGTGACACACATTTTTATCCAATCAGATGTTCAATTAATTATTTCATTCATTCACAAGCAATGATGGTTTTATACATGCAAGGGTAAAAAAAGGATATTTCACGTTCAAATAAAACAAATAAATAATATAGTAATAAATAACATAAATAATGATAATACATAAATAAAATAAACAATAAACAATCAAGTAATACATAATAACTTAAATCATAATATGAATAATTATAATAAATAAATAAAATAAAACATTATTATAAAATAATATAGTAATAAATAATAAATAGAATATAAACAATGATAATAAATAAATAAAACAAACAATAAATAATCAAGTAATAAATAATAACATAAAACATAATATAAATAATGATAATACATAAAATAAACAATAAATAATCAAGTAATACATAATAACTTAAATATAATATTTATACTTAAATATAAATATAATATTATTTATAAATAATAATATAAATAATTATAATAAATAAATAAAATAAACAATAAATATTCAAGTAATAAATAATATCATAAATAATGATAATAAAAAGTCTATATATATATATAAAATAATATAATAATAAATAATAACTTAAACCATAATATAAATAATAATAATAAATAAATATAATAATAAATAAGTAATTCATAATAACATAAATCATAATATACATAATGATAATAAATAAATAATACAAAAGTAATTAAATAAAATACAAATAATTCAAATAAATAATTCAAATATATAACAATATAAAATAATATAGTAACTAATGTATATAATGATAAGTAAATCAAGTAAATAATAAGTGGCGTCAGCTTCACTAAAAGTGTCACGGTTGGGTTAGATAGGAAGATGAAGACAAACAGAAGCTCAATATACACCGGATGATGGTAACTAGGTGAGACAGAACAACTAATGATGGTAACCAGGGAGACAGACTAGTGGCGGGAACAAACAAAGGGACATGTGACAAGTGACGACTAACTGCAAAGTCCATGAACACAGTGGTGCCCGTAAGCCTTTGTGAATGGCTCGTGTGTGTGTGTGTGTGTGTGTGTGTGCAGTGTTGCTGGAGGTGAAGGGGTCGCTGCGCTCGCTCTCTCTCTTCTGCACCGGTGCGGCCCCTGGACCGGAGGCGCTGGACTCGCTGTCGGCGCTGGACCTGGACTCGCTGCTGGCTGCGTCCCCACACACACCGCCCGCCATCACACACATCAAGGGCTTCAACGGTCGGTGCACTCTCTCTCTGTGTGTATGGATGAGTTACGGTGTGTGTGTGAGTGAGGTCAATGCCTCCACATGTCTTACATATTTCAGATTTTGCAGTCGTTCAGTTCTCTCGAGTGTTTGAAGGCACGTCCGCTCACAGTTCACCGCAAAACCACAAGACGACAATTTTTTACCTTACGATATTATTTTCACTCAAATAAAGCACATTTTCCCTCCCGCAAGTTTTATTGTAATTCCTATAATTATTTTAAATATATGTATTTATACAGCACCATAAATTAAACGTTACAAGCAACAATAAATCCTTAACCTAGCAATAATGAATTATGGTTGTTTGCAAATATTTTATATTTATGTTTTTAATGTTTATTCTCTTTAGATTATTATTATATCATAATTAAATCATCACAGATATTGCCCTGTTAAACACATATGCTTTTATAACTCATTTTATGGAACTATATAATCATGAGCATAATCTTGATACTCTAGTTATCTTATTTATTTATTATTTAAATCTGCATATATGAATCATAAATATTGTCATGATGAATAAATACTTAAAATGTTTGTATACAATATAAAATATATAACATCTGCATTTAAGCATACTATAGTGCTACTATATATAAAGTAAAATACACTTGTTTAATTGTGGGGGAAATGTGTTTATTATGCTCAGAATGATAAAAACAGGTTCATTTTCTTTATCCACAATCTCATTTCTCGCGAGTTTTAGTTGAAAATGAGCCGGACGTGTTTTTGGCAGGTCGCGTGAGATTCACCCGTTTGTAAAGAGAGATTATGTGTGTTTTCAGTCGGGTTGAAGTGGGGAAAAGGTTACATACCAGCCAACAACACACAGGGGCAGAGAGAGAGAGAGAGAGAGAGGGAGAGAGATAGAGAGACTGAGACTGAAAGAAAGTCTGAGGCACAAAAGCAGAGTGTGTGTGAGAAACACAATGAAAGAGAGCAGAAAACACATCCGGTCCCTGAGGAGAGCGCAGAGAAACCAGGATCAGGAGAAACACACACACACACACAGTACATGTGTAAGTGTGTCAGAGGGTGAACTGTCATTGGTTAATCACCTCTGACCCTGTCAGCTGGCCTGATTACGCATGTGTGTGTGTGGTAATATAATCTCACAAACATGATACACACTGCATTCCTGACCTTATCATATATATATATATATATATTATATAGACTCATTACATGCAGAGTGAGATATTTCAATATAACCTTTATTTGTTATAATTGTGTGATTATGACTTACAGCTTATAAAAAAAACCAAATTCAAAATTAGAATATTGTGAAAAGGTTTTCATGTCTGTAATCCATAATCATCACAATTTTAACAAATAAAGGTTATATTGAAATATCTCACTCTGCATGTAATGAGTCCATAAAATATAATATAATATTTTTCCTAGGGCTGTGCAAAAATTAATTGCGATTAATCGCATCCAAAATAAAAGTCTGTGTTTACATAAAATATTTGTGTGTGCTGTATATAATTATTTTGTATATATAAATACACACACATGCATGTATATATTTAAGAAAATGTGTTATTCATATATAAAATATTTATATTTATATAATATAGATTATGAATTTATTTATATATACAGAATTTAAGCGCAAATAATTCTTAAATATATACATGCATGCATAGGTATTTATATGTACAAAATAATTATACACAGCACACACAAATATATTATGTAAACACAGACTTTTATTTTGGATGCGATTAATCGCAATTAATTTTTGCACAGCCCTAATTTTTACCTTTTAAGTTGAATTACTGAAATAAATGAACTTTTGCATGATATTCTAATGTTTGTTGTATGTATCCGTTTCAGAGTTAAGATAATATTAAATTGTATTTTTTCTTTTGGCAGCAGTGCTATGGCTAACATTAGCATGTAGCGGTTGTGATCATCCCTGTGTAAGTGTGTGTGTGTGACTGTGCTGTTTCTGGTCTCAGACAGGTTATTTTACATCTACACCTCAGGCACCACCGGACTGCCCAAAGCGGCCATCGTCGTTCACAGCAGGTGTGTAAAATACTGAACACACACTGTGTGTGTTAACAGCAAACATCACCTACGACTCGCTGTGTGTGTGTGTGTGTGTGTGTGTGCCAACAGCAAACAACTTCTACGACTGTATCACTGTGTGTGTATGTGTGTCAATAGCAAACATCATCTTTACGACTGTATCTGTGTGTGTGTGTGTGTGTGTGTCCACAGATACTATCGCATCGCTGCGTTTGGATATCACTCGTTCGGTCTGCGGCCGGATGATGTGGTTTACTGCTGCTTGCCGCTCTATCACTCCGCAGGTTTGCACAAAACACACACACACACACCGTGTTCAACTCTCTGTGCCTTTACTCGCTCTGGTGTGTGTTTCCCATATGATGACGTTGTAGACATCGTTGAAGAAATTCACTAGCTAGTCATGACTGTTTCCTATGGAAGTTTGTTTCCGCCACTGAATATAAAAATAAAATAAATTATTCTGACCTTTTATATCACAATTCTGACTTTATTTCTCACAATTGCAAGATATAAAGTCAGAATTGCAAGATATAAAGTCGCTATTCTGAGAAAAAAAAAAGACAGAAGTGCGACTTTTTGACTTTTTGAACAATTCTGACTTTTTTTCTCACAATTGCGAGTTTACATCTCGCAATTCTGACTTTATAACACATAATTGCGAGTTTATATGTCAAAATTCTGACATCTTTTTTCTCAGGATTGTGAGATATAAACTCGCAATTGCGACTTATCAGGCCAATTCTAAGGGGGGAAAAGACTAACTTTTTTCCTCCTCGGAATAGTTTAAATCTCACAATTGGGACTTTATATCTCGCAATTCTGACTTTTTATCTCGCAACTCTGTCTTTTTAACTCGCAATTCTGACTTTATAACATGCAATTCTGACTTTATATCTCGCAATTCTGACTTTATATCACACAATTCTGATTTTATATCTCGCAATTGCAACTTTATATCACGCAATTCTGACTTAAAATCTCGCAATTCTGACTTTCCATCTCGCAATTGTGAGAAAAAAAGTCAGAATTGTGAGATAAAAAGTCGCAATTACCTTTTATATTTTTTATTCTATGGCGGAAACAAGCTTCCATAGTTTCCCGAAAACCATTATTGTGGCGAAGTGGTCGTTCAGCCGCGCTGGTTTACGACGTCGCGCACGTGTGGAGTAAACACTAATGAAGCTGTTTGAGATCGAATCAACGCTGGATGTTTTGATATAAATTACGGACGTGGCATCTGAGGAATACTTTTCTCAGTTATTTCGCTTTATTTCCAGATTCAATCATAAGCTCGTTCTTACACACCCAAACTCTTCAAAAACGATTCATTAATTCTTATTACGCACAGTTTAAATGAATAAATATATAAAGGTAATATAAATACGCTTTAGAATCGATAGATAAAGCTTTAAAATGAGCTGAAATGTTCACTTCTCTCCATCAACCTTGGGTCAAATCCGTAATCCACCAAAAGCCTTGCCAATGGATAAACATCTGTTCTCGTGAGTTTGAGTAAATATTGTGTAAGATGAGTGCTTGTTTAAATTCAGCAGTTTATTATTTACATGGTCAGTTTAAGTAAATACTATAAGTATGTACCAACGTTTTATCATCAGATATCACCACTGACCTTTTAAAACATAACACATGACTACCAGCTCATATGCACACTCTTCATATTTTGTATATTACACCATTATTAAAAAAAAAAAAAACTTACATTTATAACATATCTAAAGATTTAATAAAGCAGGTTAATTTTTTTTTATTTGGATTTTTGTTTGTATCACTAATTAAATCAGAAAATAAATGACACACAGCTGAAACCAATCAACCAATGATGACGGTAACCATGGAAACGGAATAAAGGAACATTGGAGACTCAGACCCGGACAGTTTTATGGATAAAACGCAAACGTTTTATCAGGTGAATTATATATGAACAAACCCCTCAGTAAAAACCTTCACATTATTGATATTAGTGAAACTGTTAAGTTTGGTGTGTGTAAGTGCTGCTAAAGTGAAGAAAACTCATTTGGAGAAAAACGCCTGGAAGGAAATAGATAAAATGCAATAAAATAAACACTTAAAAGGGTACTTTTTCTTTCTACCAGTCTAAAACAACACTTTATGTAAATCTCAAAACAATGTTTTCTCCTGTAGAATCTTGCCTTAAATATCTTTAATCTCATGCGACCAGTTTTTAACATTTAATTCAGAAATATCTATACTGAAAAACAGTAGCTGCCCCGCTCCGGACGAGCCCCCATTTTCCATAGTAAAGATATTCAGTATGAATCCTGTTTCTACATTCAGTAGGAACTCCCACATTATTGATCCTTTTTAAATGATGAAATAGGCCATTGAATGTATAGTTTGTGTCACATCGACCAATCAACGCCCTTGTCTCCGTGTTGTCCAGGGAACATCATGGGCGTAGGGCAGTGTCTGCTGCACGGCCTGACCGTCGTGATCCGCAGGAAGTTTTCCGCTAGCCGCTTCTGGGACGACTGTGTCAAGTACAACTGCACGGTGATGACCTTTGACCTCAGTCGCAGTCGCGTTTCGTTGGCCATCGAGAGATCCAGCTTATCTTGTAATTGTGCAAGGACAGGAAATGATCAGACTTTTATGTGTAATTCCAATCAAATTTTACAGTATTTTGGTGCAAATTCATCTGTCACTTCACTGCAAAAAATGCTTTCTTATATATCTAACAATTCTTTAAGAAAATCAAGAAGCTTTTACTAGATGACTAAAATGCCATAAGAAATTCTGTCTAATTTCCTGACAAAAAAGATCAAATTAAGTTTTTACTTAAAACTAGAAAAATTATCTGCCAATGGTGTTAGAAAAATAATCTTGTTTTCCATTTGAATTAAGATTTTTACCCCATTGGCAGATATATACTGTACTGTATATATATTTATAATTTTGTAATTCCAATCAAATTTTTCAGTATTTTGGTGCAAATTCTTGTCACTTCATGGACTTGGAAGTGACACTTTTCTTACTTCGTGTTTTTGTTTTGTTTCCAGTCCAAATATATAAATATATATATATATATATATAAAAATCAAGAAAATCAAGAAGCATTTACTAGATGCGTAAAACGTCATAAGAAATCCATTTTCACTTAAAACAAGCAAAATTGTTCAAATAAAATGTACGTTTTTTTTCCTCTTACCCCATTGGCAGATAATTTTGCTAGTTTAAAGCAAAAACTCACTTAAGTTTTTGATTTATTTTTTAATCAGAAAAAAAGATAGAATTTATATTATTTTACTTATCTAGTAAATGTTTCTTGATTTAAGATATATATATATATTTAATATATTTGGACTGGACACAAGATAAAAATACTGAGTAAGAAAAGTATTTTTTTTGCAGTGTTCAAAATAAAAGTTAAATGCTGTACCATGAAGAAAACCAGTTTGTGACGACCAAGATGTGATAAGATAACATTACGTACTACTAATACATTTAGTTTGTTTTTACTGTCTTTTTAGCTTACTTTTGTAAAATAAACACTTATGTCTAGTGTAAAATATGACAAAAAACAGTTTCCATCAAGTTACAAACCATCAAAACCAGCACTGTTACCAGGTGCGCACAAATACACTTCTTGTGTTGAAGACTGTGATTCCAAGTCAAATTTTACAGCCTTTTGGTGCAAATTCATCTGTCACTGTTTAAAGGTGCTGAATATACGTTTTTCACTCTACTAAAGCATAAACATACCATGATATGTTTGCATATATTGAGGAAACATGCTGGTTTCTCTGAAAAACACTTCTACAGCCAGTTATTTACTCTGAAATGTGTGTTTCCAGGCTGGTGTTTTTGTTTTGGTCTGTGTGAAACTGCACATTGCCAATTTTCATTGTCCATTGCGTTCATTCCTGTTGTGTGTGCTTAAACTGGCGACCCGTGTGAGTCTGTGGAGGCGGGAGAAACGACGCTCTCCGATAGTTTGAATGTGGACTGCAGTACCTATTTCCACCACTAGTTGTCATTCTTACAGACTGCCCCTTTAAATAACAGTTCAATTCTGTTTGTGTGTGTTTGCAGGTGGTCCAGTACATCGGTGAAATTTGCCGGTACCTGTTAGCGCAGCCGGTTCGCGCGTCCGAGTCTCTTCACAAGGTGCGTGTTGCCACGGGCAACGGTTTGCGGCCCAACGTCTGGGAAGCGTTCACTAAACGCTTCAACATCAAATGCATCGGCGAGTTTTACGGAGCCACCGAGTGCAACTGCAGCCTGGCCAACATGGACAACAAGGTGTGTGTGTGTGTAAATCTGAACTCATTATATTTAATGGGCCCTATTTTAATGATCTAAATGCATAGTAAAAGCGGAGTGTTGGACACGCCCTTGACTTTAGAGCAGGGTTCAGTTTGTCAATGGCTCAGTCTATTTCTGTTCCTCAAAATATCAACACATCGACAATGCGCCTGAACACACTGTCAAGTGTACTTCAAACATCATGGCTTCCCACACTTGACAAGAGAAGGAATCAACCAGACTCAGGATTTCACTCGTTCTTCAATTTATTTGACCAGTAACAAGGAAGGTGAAAAACCTTTAAACATACAAAAAATAACAAATTAAATAAAGTTCAATATTTCCCAACAAATACAATAAAGCACATCAAAATACAACAAGCAAAGGATAAGCTGGATTAACACATCAATTAACCATTTCTTCAAGTTTATCACCCCAGGTAAACAGTGTAAATCAGCCATTATATTTCCAGAAAGCCAGCTCTGCTGGGGCCCATTTCTTTTTAAATGAACCTTTACCCCAGATCATCCATACAGAAGTTATATATGACATTCCATAATCACAAACCTACAAGGAAAACATTTTAAATGATATTACAGTAGTTTAGCACAAGGTTTGCTCTGTACAGGAATGGTTAAACAGCTTTGTACAAAATATTTAGCCTCAAACTATTAATAGTGCAACTAACAAATGCACTTAACAGACCACACAGCGTACCCATCCAGACAACTACATAGCCAGAGATCTCATTTGCAGTCCTCAGAAACCAGTAAAGAGATGTGAGCTTACCGGTAGCCCCTTTGATCTTTTCCTTTTCCCATGAGTTTTATCCGTGATTCTTTAGCGAATTATTATTTCTTCCACTACTCTTAGCTGCATTGCAAATCTTGAACAAAACACATCTCTGCTTTCATTGTCTGAAGCTTTCTCGCGTCTCTGCTAATTAGTCTAATTTCGCGCACCTGCTGAGGCGCGCAGCAGAGCTGCACACTCGCTGTCACGTGCATGAAACAAGGCCACTGCACTCACACGCAGACACACCTCCCAGCAGATCGCCGCAACACCTCCCACTCGATCTTTGCGCAGAGCAAGCGGAAAGATCGCACCACTCAGGCGAACTGGTCCCCAACGAATTGATCCTCTGCTGGAACGAGGACAATGAGGCGCCGTACGTCCCGATGCAATATAGTACCCTGGAAATCCTTTTCTTTAGACCCGGACTCTTTGGCAAGTCCGAGACTTGGAATCTTCGCCTGAACGCACCCGCTCGGAGAGACTTTCACGTGGACATCCCGGACTATGCCTTTGGAATCTGCGTTCACACTGATGACTCTTGCTAGCTTGAACTGCCCCCTTAGTGCATTTTGATCACAAAGCCAAACTATGTCTCCCTTGGCAACGTTCCTTTCGGCAGTATGCCACTTGCTGCGGATGAACAGGTTTGGACCTGCAAGCTGGCTCCAGGACTTCCAAAAGCAGCTAACTTGGGTTTGCATCTCTTGCAGCCTTTTGAAGGGGTAAGTAGCGTAATCGAATTCTTTGAAATCTCCACTCTGTGAAGCTCGACCAAGCAACAGGGTGTTCGGAGTGATGTATTGGATGCGGTCTTCACGGCTCTGGACTCTGGCATCGATAGGCCTTTCGTTGGCGAGATTGGCAGCTAGTTTGAGCACCGTCAGGAATTCGCCAAAAGTAAGGCCTCCTCCTTTGGACAAACTTTGGAGAGCTCTTTTGGTGATCTTGACCGCAGCTTCAGCAGCGCCGTTTCGATGAGGTGAGTTGGCTGGAAGGATTCTCCATGACCAATAAGTTCCATTCTTAGCAGCATATTCCTCAAGCGACTCTTTGCTTTGTTGTCTTAGGTAAGCATACATCTCTTCCAGGACACGCTTTGCTCCAATAAAATTTGTACCTGGATCGGACCAGATCTTCTGAGGATGACCTCGGATAGAAGTAAACCTTTGGTAAGCAAGTAGAAAGCTCTCTGTTGTTAGCGCGCTTGCCAGTTCGACATGGATGGCTCGGCTCGACATGCAGCAAAAGAGCACACCCCATACTTTCAAACTCACTCTCTTTCTGACATCATCCTTTACTTCATATGGTCCGAACATGTCAACAGACGTGAATTGAAACGGTGCAGCCGGGCTCGACCTCTCTTCAGGTAAATCTCCCATTATTTGCTGACATGCCCTTGCTTTTGCCTTCCTGCAAAGGATACACCTGTCAACAACTTTTCGGGCTATAATTCTTCCTCTGATGACCCATGCTTTCTTTTGCATCCGCAGCAAAGTTCCTGCCACCCCATCATGTCCTTCACTATGTGCTTCTCGGGCTAGGAGGGTAGAGATCCAGGACTGGAAAGGTAGCAGAGGAACTGCTCTCTGGTCCTCTTTGAAGGTCTGAATCCTACCACCACACATCAAGAGACCACTTCTCCGATCCTTGTAAACAACCAGTCTGTCCGTTGTTGTGTTCGGGAAGTATGCACCCTCTTGCGCTACCAGGCATAAGTTCCGGAACACTTCTTCTCTTTCACTAACCGTGATGACACCAGATGACTGAACTGCCTCCCACTTTTCTTTATCTCTCATCTTAGCAGCACACAGAAACTTCTTAGCTGCTCTCCAAGTCCATGCTATCACCCCGGTCAACCGTCTTAGGCTACTGAAGCGCCTTTCATCCACTAGCTTTTGGACCACTGTTATTACTGGTGTTCTTCTGGACTTGGATTCTGTCCCCTGGACTTTGATTGGATCTTGCGCTTCCTGCTGGCTTCGGGTGAGTACCGCAACAAATGTTTTCTTCTGCATTTTTGCGATGTTATCTCTTGCTTGTACAGAAATGTCCTTGGCTGATTTTTTCGGCCACTCACTCTCGGGAAGCTGAAGGAACTGTGGACCCGACTGCCACTCGGATTCCTCAGTTAAATTATCAGGACTGGCCCCTCTAGTGATGATATCTGCAATGTTTGCCGACCCCGGAATCCACAACCAATCTCGGGTGTCAGTACTCCTCTGGATCTCGCCAACTCGGTTCGCGAAGAAGGTCTGGTAGCCATAACTTTCTCGCTGTATTGCACCCAAGATGGTCTGACTGTCGACGAGATGATACCACCTTTTGACATCGATTCGGCAGTGTTTCTGAAAGTAGTTTTTCAGCCGGGCTGCAAAGACTGCTCCACACAATTCCGCCTTCACCGGGTCACCCTTGTGATCCAGAGGAGTCAGCTTGGCCTTGGATTCCACCAGTCTCACAACGATCCCATGGCTACAACTCCAACGAAGGTACAGCACAGCGCCATACGCATGCTCACTACCGTCAGAGAAAGTAATGCCACATGGTCGTCCACCTGGATCTGGCGGCGTAAGGGCCCTGGTGAATCTCAGTAGCCTCAGGTCGGCATACTCTTCGAGGAGCTTCACTGCATCTTCTCTGAGTTCTTTAGACAAGGCGGCATCCCAGGTGTCTTCTATACAGTGCATCACTTTCGCTTCCTGAAAAGCTCTACGAATCAGAATGGCTCCCTTCTGCTTTGCTGGAGCCACAAGGCCGAGGGGATCATAAAGACCAGAGACTTGGCTTAACAGCTCTCTTCTGGTAAGTGGGTCTGGTGTTTGGCTTCTTACTTCTTCCCTCGGTAAGTCCTGGCCAAGGCGCACTTTTCTCCTTTTCTTAGAGAAGTTCACTGAAACCATGACGTGTAACTTGTCATCTTCAATGGTATAACCGAGGCCGAGGGCTTTGTTATCCTCTGGAGTTAGCTGGTTTGGCAGGATTACGGTCGTTGACTCCACATTTCCACCTCTCTCCCCTTTCCTCCCACTTCGATCAGAGTAGACCCAGGGCTTCATGATAAATCCTCCTCCTTTCAGGATCTGCTCGATATTGGATGTGAGGAGTTTCAAGTGGTCGAGGTCGTTGTGAGAGGTTAAGATGTCATCGACATATACATCTTCCTCCAGTACACGTTTTTCTTCTTTAAAATGGCTGAACAGAGGCAAGTTGGCAGTCTCCCGCATGGCGACTTGGGCTATACAACCAGCAGGTTTGTCTCCGATGTTGACTCTTGTTATGGCAAAATCCTCTATCTCTGCATCTTCAGTGTCGCGCCACAGAAACCTGTGCAGGTGGACCTCTCCTTTATCCAGCCAGACAGAGTTGTACATCTTGCGGATGTCACCAAGGGCAGCAAAGACACCAGTGCGGAACCTCAGTAAGACAGCTCTGATCGGATTCAGAACGTCAGGACCTTTTATCAAAATGTCATTTAAACTTAGGCCTCTATATCTCTGACTGCTATTCCACACTAGCCTTACTGGGGTGGAGACTGAATGTGGATTTAATGCGATCAGGTGACTTATGTACCACACTGGTCCAGTCCAGCTCTGTAGATCTTCTTTGGACAGCTTCACTGCAGCTTCACGATTAACCATTTCATGGACTTGTGAAGCATAGGCCATTCTCCACTCTAATTCCTTTGCCAGCTGCTTCTCTGTTCTGCGGAATGTGGCTTCAACCGCTCTCCTGTTATTGGGGAGACATGCTGGATCCTCTGTCCACGGATACTTGGCATGCCAGTGTGGTTCAGGGCTATGATGATCTTTGTTTACATACGTCAAGCCATCTCTCACCATCTCCATCTCTCTTTCTTCAGCCAGCGTCATTTCTTTTCCCCCGGGTTGACAATTCCCACAACGACATCCCCCACATCTCGGCTCACAGGCAGCTCCGATGCTTTCCCATTCCCACCACTTCAGAAAGTCTCTGCTTCTAGTGGCTGTATTGGACTGGGCACTGAGATGGTCAGAAGACTGGCAAGGGACTAGATTTTTACAGGTGAGTTCAGTGTATCTAACAGCTGCTGTTCTCATGGATCTTGCGAAGTGCGTCTTTGACGTATGGGTCACTAATGTGACTTCCTCAAAGAGGTCCGGGTGCGTGCCTCCGACGGCTTTGCCGAGCGGGCCGTCCCAGAGCACCAGGTCACCAACAGACCGGACTTTCTGGGGTACCAGCTGCCCTTCTTTGTGGCTGATCAGTAGTTGTATTTCCTTTGGTCTTGCAAGGTCTTTGAGGGAAACATCAGGGAATATCTTCTGTAATCTGATGGCTGGAACATGCCTGTGAACTTCTGCAATTTTATCAAGTCCATAGCAGATCAATTGATGTGACTTGAGGGTCCCTCTCGGAGTGTGAACACGTATCCTGAGGAGGTAACGCTTGGTTGCCACAGACACTTTCATCCCCCCAACACCATAAACCACCAATGTCACATCTTCACTTCTCAGGTTCAGCTTGCTTGCGGCTCTGTGCGTTATGTAGTTCGTATCGGATGCCAAATCAATGAGAGTACCTATACTTTGCCCATTGTTGGCAATAACGTCAAGTAGCATTAGGATCACCGGGTACTCCTTTAAACAGTTGTCCTCCAGAAGGCCTCCTTCAGCTACAGTGGAGTTGTATGCCCTAGATGCTGTATTACAGAAGGCATCTTGACATTGCTGCGCCAACTCCGGTGTCAGCTTGGAAAGGAATTTTTCTTGACTTTCAGTGTATCTTTTTCCCTCAATTTCCACTGAACTGGTCTTGGGTGGTTTTTTAAGCTGGGATCTAGCAACTGGGCAGAGAAGAAAGTGATGTTGTCGATCTTTGCACTCTGGATTCCCACACAGATAAGTAGTTGTCCTACAGTAATCCCCGTTGTGGACTTCAAGGCATCTCTTGCAGGCACCGATTTGTTGCACGGCGTCCCTCTTTTCTGACGGCTTTAGGTTAACTCTAAACTTTCTACAGAAATATAGTTTCTTTCTGTGCTTTGGGTCACCGCAAATGATGCAGCCTTCTACCTCACTGCTGGACTTGGACGTCTTTGTTCTGGCGTACTTAAGAGACTTGGTTTTCTCTCTCACGGGTTCAACAACGTCTTTCAGCTGATCTAATTCTTCATATATGGATTTTTGGGATTTCAGGTACCTGACAAGCTTGTCGAAACGGTTCTGACGGTTAACAGCATTTCTCTCATCAGCAGCATAGGTGAGCCAGTCTTTCTTCAGAGTTTCTGGGAGCTTGCCCTCGATGGATTTAATCACTATCGGGTTTTTTATGGCGTCTACATTATCCAGTTCACTCAAATCATAAAGGGCTTTTTCTACTGTTTGAATGAGCTCTATGACTTTCCTTGGCTGGCCACTCCTGACTGGTGGAGTTGCTTGTAATTCCTCAATGATCTCGAGAGCGATGGTGGCTTGGTTCCCAAACCGGCTCTCCAGGATTTGGAAGATCTCGTCTGATGAGTTGTATGTTGACAGGCATAAATCTCTGGCCATCCTCTCATCAAGACTATCGAGCAGTTGAAATTTTTTTTACCTCTCTGGAACCGGTAGGTTCACCCTGCTTTTGCAGAGCTTCCCATTCTTGCCTCCATCTGTAGTAGCCTCGCTGGTTACCGCCAAACTTTGGTAAAGCTGTTGCTTTCAGCTTTATCCCTGCCACTGGAGCTAAACGGCGCCCTGGGGGTTCCTCAGTATCTGATTTTATGCTTGCTGCTTTAATGAAGGCGGCCTTCCGCGACACCAGCTGGGGAAAGTTCACCTCCAGCGCTCTTAGGCGGCCATCGGCATCTCCTCGTTCGGCTGGCGGAGCCCAGCGATTCCAGTTCTTATGCGCTTCCTTTGCCTTAAGCACCAACTTCTCTAAGTGGGTCAGCATGAACTCATAAGCCTCCAGAGTTATATCTAGTGGGGTAGAGGAGACATTCTTACACTCCCCCTCTGCAACTAGTAGAGCTAAGGACAGTTCTCTTTCTCCATATACAGCCCAGACTGTCTCTCGAATTAGGAGTTTAACTTCTTCCGTCTTTTGCTTACAGTATTCCTCCGTCCTTTCTATGTCGGCTCTCAGTAAGTCGCCCAGCTCCTCTGCAGTAACTGCTTTGGACTTTTCCATGTAGGCAGCCTCTACCTCATCATTTGCCTCCATAACTCTGGAGCTCTCTAGTGTAAGCTTTTTGAAGTTCTCCTTTAACTCCTCCATAGACATCTCTGTATGGGTTCGTGAAATGCTATTAGCAAGACGGGAGAAAAGTCTCTTAGCTGTGGTCCTCTCCACCTTCAATTCATCCAGTGACTTTGCCATTTGTTCTCTTCAATTGACAGACAGCAGCTTTATCATTCAGGCCCCCGGGTGGAGTCAACCTCTCCCTCTTGGTTGTGGCCGTAAGTGGAATTGTCGCTGGTCACTGGTCACGGCGGTTTTTCACTGTCAAGTGTACTTCAAACATCATGGCTTCCCACACTTGACAAGAGAAGGAATCAACCAGACTCAGGATTTCACTCGTTCTTCAATTTATTTGACCAGTAACAAGGAAGGTGAAAAACCTTTAAACATACAAAAAATAACAAATTAAATAAAGTTCAATATTTCCCAACAAATACAATAAAGCACATCAAAATACAACAAGCAAAGGATAAGCTGGATTAACACATCAATTAACCATTTCTTCAAGTTTATCACCCCAGGTAAACAGTGTAAATCAGCCATTATATTTCCAGAAAGCCAGCTCTGCTGGGGCCCATTTCTTTTTAAATGAACCTTTACCCCAGATCATCCATACAGAAGTTATATATGACATTCCATAATCACAAACCTACAAGGAAAACATTTTAAATGATATTACAGTAGTTTAGCACAAGGTTTGCTCTGTACAGGAATGGTTAAACAGCTTTGTACAAAATATTTAGCCTCAAACTATTAATAGTGCAACTAACAAATGCACTTAACAGACCACACAGCGTACCCATCCAGACAACTACATAGCCAGAGATCTCATTTGCAGTCCTCAGAAACCAGTAAAGAGATGTGAGCTTACCGGTAGCCCCTTTGATCTTTTCCTTTTCCCATGAGTTTTATCCGTGATTCTTTAGCGAATTATTATTTCTTCCACTACTCTTAGCTGCATTGCAAATCTTGAACAAAACACATCTCTGCTTTCATTGTCTGAAGCTTTCTCGCGTCTCTGCTAATTAGTCTAATTTCGCGCACCTGCTGAGGCGCGCAGCAGAGCTGCACACTCGCTGTCACGTGCATGAAACAAGGCCACTGCACTCACACGCAGACACACCTCCCAGCAGATCGCCGCAACACACACACTCGTTCAGACCAGCTGCCCATGGTCGCGCAAATGCATTTGCTATTTAAACAATGTGACGCAGGACGTGAAAATGATAAGTGCGTCGGGCTGAAACTAGCGAAACACACTCGCGTCGCGTCTGGCGCTGCATTGCACCGCGTGTATGATAGGGCCCTATAGGTAATATGTGTGTATGTGTGTTATTGATGTGTGATGTGCTCCTCTGGCCAGGTGGGGGCGTGTGGCTTCAACAGCGTGATCCTGCCCAGCATTTATCCCATCAGGCTCCTGAGGGCCGACGAAGACACCATGGAGTTAATCAGGGACGGTCGAGGACTGTGTGTCCCGTGCAAACCTGGTGAGTGGAACACACACACAAACACAATCTGAACCTGAAAACGCACAGTAGATGTGATTCATTTATTTTAATTAATAATAAACTGCATAAAATATGAAATATTTTTGTTTACTGTAATGATGGTAAACTTTGGGCTCAGTAAGATGTTTCTGAAAGTCTCTTCTGCTCACCAAGGCTGCATTTATCTGATCAAAAATAAAGTAAAAACAGTGAAATATTATTACAATTCATAATTGCTGTTTTCTATGTGAATCTACAGTAAAGTGTAATTTATTCCAGTGATCAAAGCTGTATTTTCAGCATCATTACTCCAGTCTTCAGTGTCACATGATCCTTCACAAATCACTCTAATATGATGTTAAAAACAGCTATTATTTTATATTCATATTTTCATAATTCAGGATATTTGATGAATAGAAAGTTCAAAAGAACAGCATTTACTTGAAATAGAAATCTTTTGGAACATTATACATTTCTTTACTTTATTTTTGATCAATTTAATTCATCCTTGTTTATTAAAAATATTATTATCCTTAAAAAATATATATCGTACTGACCCCAAACTTTTGAACGGTGTTGTATATTTTGCAATAATGATCTGGTGATCAGACATTGTCCCTTACTTATTGAAACAAAGTATGTGGAAGTGGATTGAATGATATATCGTTTCTTTTAATATGTTAACACATCATGTTGTAAATATTATCTACATATTTGCCTCGTTTTCTGAACACACAGTCCCATGACAGAGTAAACAAGTGAATTTCCAAAGTGTTCGAAAGGTCTTCCTTTGTATAACTTGTAAATGGGTCAAAAGGCAACTTCTGTCTGGCTAGTAACAGTAAAGTACACTTGCTGTGTCCTTGTTTGTGTTTTACATTTCACATCAGAGACAAGTGACAGCCAATGAGAAACCAGCATTTATTATGACTTGGCGTGTGAAATGAGAGTTCCCCGTGTCATTTTGTGGTGTAAATCTGTGTTACTTTAAAGAACACCAACTAAAAAAGGGATATAAAAAAGTTTTTATAAAAACTTTTTTATAAAAAAAAATGTATCTTCTTTCTCTTACCTTTCTTCTTTTTCGTATTTTGTTCTTTGTTCTGCTTTAATAATAATAATAAAAATAACACACACACATATATATATATATATATATACAGTATATATATATACAGTATATATATATATATATACAGTATATATGTGTGTGTAGAAATACCCTGGTGTAAATATGCACCAGTAAAACATTTAACCCTACAATACAAGTTTTTTGTGTATTTTCTGAACATTTTAGGAGAACTAGGGATCATCGTGGGCAGAATCAATCCTCATGATCCATTACGTCGCTTTGATGGCTACGCGAATCAAGAGGCCACCAGTAAAAAGATCGCGCACAACGTCTTCAAAACGGGAGATTCTGCGTATGTGTCAGGTAAAGTGGAAGCTCTCCGGATGCGGACGATGCTCCTGGATTCCTCTCACTCTGTTCTCCTGTCTCAGGCGATCTGATGGTGATGGATGAGTTCGGTTACGTGTATTTCCGGGACCGAGGCGGAGACACGTATCGCTGGCGTGGCGAGAACGTCTCGACCACGGAGGTGGAAGGAATCCTGAGCGCTCTGTTGAATCAGACGGACGTGGCCGTCTATGGCGTCTCAGTGCCAGGTTAGATGTTTCAAATAATTAGCAGATGCTAGGGGTATAGCGATACCCTCATGTAACGATTCGATAATTAGCAGAAGACGCTTAGGAGTGTAACAATACCCTCATGTCAAGATCCGATAATTAGCAGAAGACGCTAGGAGTGTAGCGAGACCCTCATGTCATGAGTCGATAATTAGCAGAAGACGCTAGGAGTGTAGCGATATCCTCATGTAACGATTCGATAATTAGCAGAAGACGCTAGGAGTGTAGCGATACCATCATGTCAAGATCCGATAATTAGCAGAAGACGCTAGGAGTGTAGCGATACCCTCATGTCAAGATCCGATAATTAGCAGAAGACGCTAGGAGTGTAGCGATAACCTCATGTAACGATTCCATAATTAGCAGAAGATGCAAGGTTGCTAGATGCTATTGAGATGCTAAATTCTGAGAACTTGAATTTTTTCCTCTCACAGAAATTTTATTTTTGGGTGAACAATCCACATTGTTACATTTTTACATTTTACGCGATATATTGTGACGCGATATATTGTTACATTTTACGCGATATATTGTGACACGATATATTGTTACGCCCCTAGAAGGCGTTTTATATAAATAAAAGAGCTGCAGATGTATTATATAATGCTGTATATGCAATAAAATGTGTCTTTTCTCCATCAGGCATGGAGGGAAGGGCAGGAATGGCCGCCATCGCGCATGTGACGGGCGACTTCGACTGTGAGGCGCTGCTGAAAGATATGCAGAACACGCTTCCCTCGTACGCTCGGCCCATCTTCTTACGGCTCTTACCGGAGGTCGACAGAACAGGTGACGATCCAGACACAATTACCCACAATCTTGCAAGTGCTGGATACGGTAATCCTGTTAATGAACGATTGTTTTCCATGTCCATTTCCTGGAAAAGGGGCTTGACTCACTTGTCAAACAGTGGTGGATTTATCTGGACCTCGGAGATTAACTTCTACACAATGTCGTCTGCCTTTGTAAATGCGCGAGCCCTTTAAATTAGAATGGATTCTGATTGGCTGCGTTAATCGTTAATCGTTTCTGAAAGTGATCCCAACGATATCCCAGCTCTGCTGTGAACTCTGCTATTCTCCAATGTGGAGAACGATTTAAAGAACTATATCGTTATCTTTATAGTTATCGTGCTTGGTGTGAACGGGCACTAAAATCTTTCATGTCTTTCATCCCCAGACACATTTAAAATAAAAAAAACTCGCTTACAGAAGGAGGGATTCGACCCACGACACACCAGCGACCAGCTCTACTTCCTCAACAGCCGCTCGAGGCGTTACGAGAGTCTGACGGATGAACTCTACAGCGACATCATGCAGGGAAACGCGTCTCTATAAGAGCCACACAGAGAATGTCAAAGTGAGGCATCGATACGCAGTTTACGGTACAAAATCAGCGAGATGACTGCACTACAATCACGCTCATACTTGACACACTGTTCGGTTACTACTTGAAACGACTAGTTCTGCCTTTCACGTCACTTTAAACTTTAAGTCATTTTTATAATTGCAGACTTCTTACATTTTATAACGTTTTCTGATTAGAAATAATGGACTGAGCTCACTTTGTGAGATTATCCAAGCTGAACTAAACATGATTTTTTTCCTCAATGGATTGCATAAAACGTCTCTCTGATGTCACTGGAATAGGTTTCACGAGATAAACATTTCTGTAAACGACAGAGATAGTCATAGTCAGTTGCTCTCGTCTGTGTCTGCTTTTAATGGTTTTGGAGAGGTTTACCCTTTCATCTGCAATTGACTGACAGCACTGTTCATGTGGTCAACACTGTAACCAAGTCTTCTTAGACTAGTAATGGTGATAGTATCACAAACGAACAGTACGTAAAACATCTCAAATCACATGTTAAACTCGGCCTCAGTGAAGTGTATTGAGTCAAATGTTTTGATGTGAAATGTCCTTACAATGCAATATAGTGTCGGCCAATATAGTGGGTCGGATCTGGGCCGACGCTATGTTGCTGTCTGGCAAATCAGATTGTTTTATTCTTTTTCAGATGTTTTGACTATTTTACATTTACTTGAACTCGATTTTCTAAACAATTTCAATAAATTTAACGTAACAAGTACATGAGTGTGTTTCTTTTCCAGCTTTAGATAATCAGACAAAAACAAAGTGATTCAAATTCTTCTCATTATCTCTCATGTTCTGTCAGCAGCATATCTTGTAAAGGCTTTCCAAAGACGGTTAAATTAAGTTGATTTGTAAATGAGACATTTTAAGATTCACAAAGATGTTTCCTTTCCAGCCGTTTGACAGACTTAATGCGTCTCTCTGTCTGTGTGCCCTCGTGAGAGATGGAATATCAGATAATCAATGCAAGGCCTTCAATATTTCCATGTGCAGTAAACAAATTAATGCACAAATCAGCAGAAAGCGCTGCCAATATCATATCTGAGGGGCGGGGCTTGTGAGTCAGTGGGCGGAGCTCCTCACAGAAGAACAGAGTGGAGATGCATGATGACTGCTCCATCTGTGGCGAGAGATTCACTTCTAAACGCTTTTATCCTTGCAGTGTTATGGGAATATTATTTTATGGTTGTAAGAAAACTAAAACTAGTATGTGTCAAGAACAGGGGTCCAAAAGATGGTGCCCACAGCTCAATCATCCATCCATCCATTTTCCAAACCACTGGTCCAATGTAGCTTCATTTATTATTTATATATTTATTTTTCTATAGAGAAGAGACATTATTTCTATCTTTCATGCATTGTTTTTTGAAACATGTCATAATAAAACACATGAGGAGCCTATCTGAATTTGTGTCTTGTAATATAACATTTTTCTATCCATACAGAGGAGTCATAGCCTACTTTAAATGTATTAAAATTAATAATATCTGAGCGCGCTTTTTGCTGTCTTCCACAGAAAGCCGCGAACTCGCGTAATTCAAATATTAACGGTCATTTTGATTTGCCGGCTGACTGACTAGTAGGGCCTATTAGTTTATCGATGTCAATGTTTAGTAATAGTGTCTTGGGAACGCCAGTGAAATACAATGGTATTTTTAAAAAGAAGGGTTGGTAAAGCGTCTACTCGTTTACTCCGTACTGTAGGAGGCGCTGTAACTTTATTTAGTCTACCGGTAAAACCGCTGAAGAAAAGACATATAGCCTCGTATGGTAGCCTCAGACGGTGAGTGTTATTTTTACATTATGCGTTTTATTGGTTTACTTGTTCCTTTTCTGTCTCTAGTTTTTAATGAATTTAATATAGCTTTGGCCTTTTACTGTTAAATCGCTTGCAGTTTCGTAAAGAATGAGACAAGAAACCTGACAACAATAGCATATAATGTCTGAATATGCATATAATATATTGCAACATTTGATTATCTTCATACACATTTACATCTGAAATTTAATCTTTCTGAATATTCTTCAAAAATAACATGCGATTTTCTTTAGTTCTGCTCATGATGTGTTTGTCTTCAGATGTTGACCATGAGAGCACAGATGGATGTGAACTGCTGTAAATCAGTAGGAACGGATCTGTCCATGCTGGATATTGAGGATTTCATCACTGAAATCTGTCAGCTGAAGAAAGAGGTGGCGTCACTGGAGGCAAAGCTGAGAGAAAGAGGAGACAAACCCGACAGAGAGGTTTGAGCAGCTCATCATTTCATCCTTCAGCTCAATCAAATCAAAGTTGTGTTAGCTTCTCGCTTCTTATGCACATCACTAATTAAGACAACCGCAAAATATGCTAACAAATCACCAATATAACCACTAGAGATAACTACTGAGTAATGAGGCTAATATCAAAAGGTTGTTGTTTATTTGTGTTTATCTATGATGTGTTTGTCAGGATCTGGAGAAGGTTTCAGTGTGTGTGACTGATGGGACAGAAGCTCAGGATCATGGATCTGCTGATCAAACCTCTGACTGTAATGCTGGAGAACTGCAGATGAAGATGTACTCTGTCAAACTGGAGGACTACAGGTACCTGATGGAGAGACGAGGAGAAGAAACCACAGCAGATCAACAACAACAACAGAGCTTTAAGAAGGAGGAGGAGGAGGAGATTGACTATTATAAGGATAAAGGGAATGAGAAACAGAAAGATGGGACAGATGCTCAGGATTCGCTCTGGAGTATCAGAGATCAGAGATCCAGTGACACACAGGACTCAGAGCTCAGCCTCACATTCCTGTGTTATACTGACGCTCAGGATCATGGATCCGCTGATCAAACCTCTGACTGTAATGCTGGAGAACTGCAGATGAAGATGTGCTCCGTCAAACTGGAGGACTGCAGGAACCTGATAGAGAGACGAGGAGAAGAAACCACAGCAGAGGAACAACAACAACAGAGCTTTAAGGAGGAGGAGGAGGAGGAAGATCAGAATGATAATGTTGATGACTTTGTTCCTTCAGGTATGTTTCTTCCTTTTGTGACATGTTGAATTAACAGAATTGCTTTTATCATTAATAAATTTATCTATGTTCGTGGCAAGACAAAAGATGTCAGTGAATGTCCTGCTGATACGCGCGCGCGCGCGCGCACACACACACATGCGCGACGTACACAGGGTTTCTGCAGATTTTTGCTAAAATTAAGGCTTTAAAAGGCATTAAAAAGCGTTAATTTTGACTCCTACAGTCATTAATTTTTTTATAGTTTTGAAGAGAATTTTACATCAATTTGTTTGAATATAGCCTACATAATGAATCATTTGTATTTGCTGTCGCAAAATATCTACGTTCATTTATGTGATAAATAAGTTTGGTAATTGCTTCCGGCGGGGGGAAAAGTGCCGTGATGCAGAGGTTTGTTGTACAGCGGTGGATAGGTCTGAACCTTGAAACCTCTGAACCTGTCAACACTGACATATTTGTGTGCATTATGTTTTGTGATTTCACCGTATCAAAAAGGGAGTCTCAACGGATTGAAGCGTGCATCTGAATGTGCACTAGCCACAACCGAACACCGAACACTGCCTGGGTCCACGCATTGAGCGTGACAGTCACTCATTCGGTCAATCGGTCTTTTGTCATGCTCTCCCGCCACACTCAAAAACTATTTATAATTTATTGAATTTGCCGCAGCGCCTCAAATGTCCTCTCACTAGGAACCAGCAGGAATCAAGCGTGTCTCCCATGTAGTTCTGCAGTCGAGCCGCCACTTATTTATTTTTTTATTTATTTAGAAAAAAGGGACAGTGTACATTAATTACCATTCTTAAAGTCCCTGTAAAGTCAAAATTAAGTGTGTGTTCTGAGATTGTCACACCACAGAAAAATGTGTTATTAGCCACCTAGCCAAATTTGAATGATAAAAATAGTCGGCAAGTACATAAAATAAGCTATCAAAATCTTGAAAAAATGAGCAGTTATGTCTGTAAGTCATATAATGGAGGTTTATGGTTCACTTCAAACGTTGGCTTTAGTCGTGCGTCCTATTCGCTTTGGACTAGCGTCGAACTAGACGTCTATGAACTAGACAGATATTTGTTTCCATTGGTATTGAAAATGTGGGTACTGAGAATGGCATATTGTGAGTTGCATGTACAAAACAGCCTTTGCAGTTTGATAACCATACTAAGACATATCACAACTTTGAATGATCATTCAGCCCTAAAAGTTATGTAAACAGTTCAAAATTTAATGCCCATTATGTTCCTTTCAGATGAAAACACTGGTTTATCTTCTGATGGAGAAACTGCCTCTACATCCAAAGAGCGATGGACAGTGAAGAGTTTCTCCTGGGAAACCTGTGGGAAAACATTGAGCTCACAGGGACGTTTAGCGAGACATGAGAGAACACACACAGAACAGAATGACCTTACCTGTAAGATATGTGGCATCATATTTTCTACCTCAGAAGAGAAGAGACTTCATTCAAAACAGCACAAGAAGAAAGAGTTTCATTGTGAACAGTGTGGAGAGAATTTTAATTCCACTTCTACTCTCTACCGTCACAAACAGAAGTTGCACAGTAGTGAAAAACCTTTCGAATGCAGTGAGTGTAACAAATATTTCCGCACCAAAGGACATCTTTCAACTCATAAGAAATACCACAAGGAGGGAAAGCTGTACCAGTGCCTTCAATGTGAGAAGAGCTTCAAACAAGAATACAATCTAAAGATGCATCTACTCACACACACCAATGAGAGGCCGTACCAGTGCAGTGAATGTGGGAAAAGCTTTAAGGACTCAAAATATCTGAAGGAACACCAAAGAATACACTCTGAAGTCAAACCATTAAAGTGTTCTCACTGTGAGAAACGTTTCTATCATTCAGCGCACCGGAAAACCCATGAGAGGATTCACACCGGAGAGAAACCGTACCTGTGCTCCTTCTGCGGGAAGAGCTTTGCTAGTCCGTTTTATTTCAAAGTTCATCAGAGATTTCACACTGGAGAAAAACCTTATCACTGTAGTGATTGTGGGAAGGGATTTACTAATTCAAGTTGCTTACAAATGCACCAGAGAATTCATACAGGAGAGAAACCTTTTAAATGCTCACATTGTGACAAGACTTTTGCTCGATCAAGTGACCTAAAGAGCCATAATCGAGTTCATACTGGAGAAAAACCTTACCACTGCTCCATCTGTGACAAGAGATTCGCTTTTAGCTGGGGTTTTAAGACTCACCAGAAGAAACACACTGTTCCAGAGTCATCATAGATTCATCATGTTGTCACAGGTGGTTGCTGGCAGACAGATGAGGATTAGTGCTTCTAGGTTGTACGTCACATGCATCACACACATGGCCAAAAGTAGGGATGGGCATCGTTAAGAAATTATCGATGCCATTGTCGAGTCTGCTTATCGATTCCCATATCGATTCCTGTACCATTTGCTGAACACTTACAGGGTGGCTTTGAGAGTTGTTGGTTCTGAATGTCTAATTTAAAGTGGATTTGGAGAATGAAAACCAAGTGTGCAATATCACTTACTGAAAAACATGATGGCATGAAATGAGTCTTATTTCCCTGTCACTTTGTTACATGAAATAATACTCTACAGGTACAGTAATGTGTTTTGGGGATTGACAAGTGCAATTCCTTATAAGTGTGATTCGTGAAATCATTGAAATGTCTTGTTCACAAACTTTCAGCAGAGCCTCAAATACTGTCAGTATGAATATGCAATTGAAGTCAAGTCTGCATTTACCAGTACTTACCAGTAACCAAGTAATATATCAGCATACAATAAAGCCCTTTAATGCAATTAATAATGCAAGTTTATTGTGTAATTTCTATCCGTTTGTCTCAGGGTGTGTGTGCGTTTGTGGCCTGCCTGCTTCATTTATGTTTTTCCATGTGTTTTGCTGGAGGGGGTGCTGTAAAACCAACAAATACAGTAATATTTTCCAATTTAAAATCACTGTTTTATATTTGAATCAATGTTTTTGTTTCCCTGTGTTCTGTATTTTTCTATTTTCAGTCTGTATTTTGAATGGCTGTTACAGTCTTCATACATGTCACTGATATGCTGATTTGCCGCTCAAAGATATCTTTCTTATTATTATCGCTGTTGAAAATGCTGTACTGTTTAATGAATTGTGGAAACTGACACTGTTTTTTCAGGATTACAGATCAACAGAGAGTGAAGAACACAATTTATTTCAATCAGAAATCAGGAACCTGTATGTTTCTTTACAGTGCGCCTCTAGATATCAGCGCGCGCTTTCTCCTGTCTTCTACAAAGGCGCGAACTCGCGTCATTCAAATATTAACGGTCATTTTGATTACCTGAGTCTGACTGAACAACAATCGTTTGTCGATGTCATTATTCATTATATATTAGTCCCTGCAACGTCAGTGAAATACAATGGTATTTTTTTGTAAATAAGAGATATGTTTGAAGCCTCTATTCTTCTACTCCGCTCGTACTGTAGGAGGCGCTGTAACGTTATGTAGTAGTCCACCCGTTAAAGCACGAAGAAAGACAGACAACTGGAGCTCTCCTACGGTGAGTGTTTAATCTGTTACATTTATGCATTTTAGCGGCTTACTTGTTTCTTTTCTGTCTCTAGTTTTTAATTAATTTGATATAGCTTTTTCTCACCCGCTCTTCATGACAAAAAGATCCATGGTTTTACTACAGCAACCATAACAAAGGTCCTCTTGTACTTCAGTAAACCACGTTTTAACCATGATATTTGCAGTCAACAATAGTTTAGATAATCCTTAATTTGTATGTCTAGATGTTTATAGCCCTTACAGTTTAGTGAGAAACGAGCAGACCTGATAATATCATGTTTAATATCTGAATAAATGAATATTGTAACATTTAATAATAACAATGAGCTGTGGTGGCTCAAAATTCATTTACATTTGAAATGAAATGTCTCTAAATATTCTCCAAAAATATGTTATTTTCTTTAGTTCTGCTCATGTTGTGTTCGTCTTCAGATGTTGACCATGAGAGTGCAGATGGATGTGAACTGCTGTAAATCAGTAGGAACGGATCTGTCCATGCTGGATATTGAGGATTTCATCACTGAAATCTGTCAGCTGAAGAAAGAGGTGGCGTCACTGGAGGCAAAGCTGAGAGAAAGAGGAGACAAACCTGACAGAGAGGTTTGAGCAGCTCATCATTTCATCCTTCAGCTCAATCAAATCACAGTTTTGTTTGGTACTCACTTCTTATGCACAGCTCAAATTAAGACAACAGCAAAATATGCAAACAAATCACCAAAATGACCACTAGAGATAACTGCTGAGTAATGAGGCTAATATTAACAGGTTGTTCTTTATTTGTTTATCTATTTTGTTAGGATACTGATGCTCAGGATCATGGATCCGCTGATCAAACCTCTGACTGCAACGCTGGAGAGCAGCAGATGAAGATGTGCTCCGTCAAACTGGAGAACTGCAGGAACCTGATAGAGAGACGAGAAGAAGAAACCACAGCAGAGGAACAACAACAGAGCCATGAGGAGGAGGAAGATGACATTGATTATGATAAGGATGAAGGGACTGAAGCTCAGGATTCGCTGTGGAGTGTCGGTGATCAAAGATCCAGAGACTCAGAATGCAGCCTCACTTTACTGTGTTATACTGACGCTCAGGATCATGGATCCGCTGATCAAACCTCTGACTGTAACGCTGGAGAACTACAGATGAAGATGTGCTTCGTCAAACTGGAGGACTGCAGGAACCTGATAGAGAGACGAGGAGAAGAAACCACAGCAGAGGAACAACAACAACAGAGCTTTAAGGAGGAGGAGGAGGATGAAGAGGATGAGGTTCAGAATAATGATGATGTTGATGATGATGAAGATTTTGATCCTTCAGGTATGTTTCTACCTTTTTTGACTAGAAAAGTTTAGTGATCCTTTTGTGATTTTCAAGCACTATTGAATAAATTCAAGGCTTATGTCTTTTACCATAAGCAAATCTGTTTTGTCCTTCCACTAATGAATGTGCGTGTTCCATTCAAACCAGCTATAGATAAAAAAAAAAAAAAAAACGATAAATCAGACTCATCTAAATCAGACTCTGCTGTTTGATTCGTGTACATTTTCTAGTTGTTGGAAATACTGGTTAACATTGTTTTTTTGATGTGTTTTGACATATACAAACAAAATTACTGCTACATTCGTGATGTTCGCGGGTCAGTTTGACCCAGATATTTTAAAACTGTACCGACCCAAGATAATAATAACATTTTTTGGTTTATATTTTGTATTTTTACAACAGTATTCATATGTAGAACATTTCCAATAGAAAAATGCTACATTGATGAGGTCAGTGTTGGGAGAGTTCACTCTCTACATGAACTAGTTCAAAGTTTGCACAGAAATGTACGATTTTTCCCATCCTCGCAGACCTTGTCATAAAACTCGTTTAAATGATCATACTTGCTGCTTCGTCAACTACATGCTGTTTTAATGACACATGCGGCAGCCGCGGTGTGACACTCATGGCTTGTGTTGCCAGATTGGATGGTTTTTTCACTACATATTAAGGCCAGTTCACAGTAACGTTCATCAGGCAGTAATACAGTACGATCAGTTCGCGTTCACCTAAAATATGAAGAATGCGTTCTGGCACATGCTTTGGATGATGCTTTGCATGAGCTTTTCATTTGTGGTAAGACCTCTGCTTCTTTGGTGAATAGATGATGACTGGATATGACTTTCATCTCACATCTAAGTGTGAATTGATAAATCTTTTGCAACAAAAATTAATCATCACTGAACTTAATAAAACAAACTTTGTTGCATTATTATGAAACTGTTTTTAAACTTTGTATTGTAAAAAGAGCTTTATAAATAAAGGTGACTTGACTTATGCCCATTATTTTCCTTTCAGATGACAACGCTGGTTCATGTTCTGATGGAGAAACTGCCTCTACATCCAAAGAGCGACTGACAGTGACCGACAGTGGAAAAACATTCAGCAAAAAGAAACGTTTAGCGAGACGTAAGAGAATACGCACAGAACAGAAAGAGTTCACCTGCAAGATATGTGACATCAGCTTTTCTACCTCAAACGAGAGGAGACGTCATTCAAAACAGCACAAGAATTTTCATTGTGATCAGTGTGGGAAGAAATGTAATTCCTCTTCTAGTTTCTACCGTCATAAGGCGTCTCACAATGAAGACCAAAGTCAGGAAAAGCTGCACCAGTGCCCTCAATGTGAGAAGAGCTTCACCCAGGGATGGATTCTGAAAAACCATCTACTCGTGCACAGCGATGAGAGGCCGTACAAGTGCGATGAATGTGAGAAGAGTTTCAAACAGAAGGGCCATCTGAAGAGCCATCTACTCACACACACCAATGAGAGGCCATTCAAGTGTCCTCACTGCGAGAATAGCTTCCACCAGGCATCCCATCTGAGGAGCCATCTACTTATACACACCAATGAGAAGCCATTTCAGTGCCCTCAATGTGAGAAGAGCTTCAGAGATGGATCTCATCTAAGGAGACATCTATTAAGGCACACCAATGAAGAGGCAGACCAGAAGAGCACACGCATCAATGAGAGCCTGTACAAGTGCCCTCACTGTAAGAAGAGCATGAAATACGAAATCAGTCTGAAGAAACATCTACTCATGCACAGCAACGACAGGCCATACAAGTGCGGTAAATGTGAGAAAACCTTTACAATGCCAAAATCTCTGAAGGAACACCAAAAAATACACGCTGAAGTCAAACCGTACCAGTGTTCTCACTGTGAGAAACGTTTCCATCATTCGACGCACCGGAAAACCCATGAGAGGATTCACACCGGAGAGAAACCGTACCTGTGCTCCTTCTGCGGGAAGAGCTTTGCTAGTCCGTTTTCTTTCAAAGTTCATCATAGAATTCACACTGGAGAAAGACCTTATCACTGTAGTTATTGTGGGAAGGGATTTTACAAGCCAAGCGACTTAAAAATGCACAAGCGTGTTCATACAGGAGAAAAACCTTTTAAATGCTCACATTGTGACAAGACTTTTGCTCGATCAAATGCCGTGAAGGTCCATGAACGAATGCATACAGGAGAGAAACCTTACCGCTGCTCCATCTGTGGCGAGAGATTCTCTTTTAAATGGGGGTTTAAGACTCACCAGAAGAAACACGCTGCTCCAGAGTCATCATAGCTTCATCTTGTAATCCTTTTTAGCTTGTGTAAAAAAACACCTTGCAGTGTCGTAGGAACGTAATTTCATGGTTGTACAAAAACTAAAACTACAATTGAACAGAGGTGCCCAAATTGTCCTCTAGAGTGAGGGGGCTTTCACACTGGCAGTTTGGTTTGGAACGGGGCACGGTTCGCATGAAAAATCGCTAATGTGAATGTTGACGTGGGTGCGCACTGGGGTACCGAACCCGAGACTACCTGGAGGAGTTTGGTTGCTTCCGAACCGTGGAGCGGTTCACGTGAATGTGAAAGCAACACGGATTCGGGCGCACACTTGTTCAGGACGTAAAGTATCCTGTGCATGCGTTTTAGCTTATTGTGATGTATTCAGTTATATAAAACGCTTGCAAGGGATGATAGTGTTGATGATTTACCTTGGATACGAGCGAGAGTGAGCCTGCAGTGTATTCGAGCATTGCGCGTGGAATCAGATCAAAAGAGTCCGTTTGCAAGCAGCATAAGTCCACCTTATGTGCAACATGACATCATGACTTTTGCGTAAACATACACGCCACTTTCGAGTCAAGTGGCGTGTTATCTCTACGCATTTTGAGCTATCCGCGTGTATCCGTGTGTTTGCGTGTATGTCTACGCCATTAACGTCCGCGTCATTCCGCGTGTCTGTACACAATGTCAAATCTCCAGTCATAAATGCCATTAACCCCAGTGACGGCTAAGTTTAGGGACGGGGTTGAGGTAAGTCATATATTTATATAATGTCAAGTCAACGGCGTTCATAAACACGCTGAAAAGCAATTATGCGTCTTGATAGCACGCCAAAAATGGAAATACGAATTGGCGTGTCATACACGCGCTACTTCATGAGATCAGTCTGTTATGTGACACACGCACAGTAAACCTGGGGTGCGTTTCCCGAAAGCATCGTTAGCCAACTATGGTCGCAATTTCCATTGAACTCTATTGGAAAACGACGGAACTTGCGACCATAGTTGGCTAACGATGCTTTCGGGAAACGCGCCCCTGTATTGTTCACTCAACTGCGCATAATAGCAGCAAATTAATAAAAAAAACCCACAATATTTATTCACGTTCTGTTTTCTATCATGCGCCGCGCACGTTTGCGATGACGTAAGATGCACGAAAACGCACCAGGGTTCGCTAGAATCAAGTTGAGTGTGAAACCAGACCAACGCTGCGGAGGGCGCCGGGAACAAACGCTCTCGGGCTCGGACCACGGCAAACGAGCCCAGTGTAAAAGCCCCCTTAGCTTCAACCGTAATTAAACACACCTGAACCAGCTAATCAAGAGCCGTGTCTGAAATCACCCCTATACCCTAAAATTGGGAAATACTTGAACAGACAGAGATTTGTAGTGGCGTCTGTTATCGAGGACCCACAATGCACTGCAATGGCTAGTGTAGAAATAATGTACACTCAGCTGCTATAGAATACCCATAATGCACTGTGATGGTTGCGGTGAATAAATTCCTGCATCTATCCAGAAGATGGCGCCCGCAGCTCAATCATCCATCCATTTTCCAAACCCCAGGTCCAATGTGGGTACAGCGTAATATCATACAGCTATAAGTTAATTTTTGATTACTGAATTGTTTAAATAAGATTTATAGATGTAAACTATTCATCCCACTACTGGAGCTGCCAGTTTGCAAATGGGTTTCAAATGATTTTCCAGTGCAGTCAGTTTTTTCATTCACTCATTTAAAGAGTAACTAAACACTAAACCAACTTTTTTTTAGTTGGTGATCTGTAAGAATGGATCTTTATTAATACCAGTCATTGATTCGAGTAACTTTTTTGACATTTGTTTATAAAGTGTTTTATTTCTACAATATATGGTGTAAAAACGTCTTAGTGCTGCCCTCTTCAGGTTGAACGGTGGCTACTGCAGTTGGATCTTCCTATTGGATGTTCCGCACTTCGTGACGTACGCAGGTTTCAGCTCACCACGCGAGCTACGCCCTTGGCAGTATAAAAACCAGCTTGTTTCGTCAAAACCACTGTAGGGAGTCAGGAATTGGAATTGTGAGTATTGAAAACGACCAGGATGGAGTGTTTTAGCATCTCTTTCGTCCCCTCTATCTCCGCTGGGGTCAGCCCACTTTTTCAGCATTTTCAAATATTGCCAGTGGGTGGAGTCAGGCTCTGACCAGGGGTTTAGTTACCCTTTTTAAGTGATTTATACTAATGTAGGGAATAGTGAAGTGAGGGTATAGGGGGTGATTTTTAACACTGCAAAGGTCTTCAGACTCACTGAAAAAGGCAAGTGTGATGAAGCAGAACTGTGCAGGACGTTAGCCCTCCAGGAGCAGGATTGGACTCCCTGTTCTCGAACATTATTAACTGTAGAAATGAATCCTCTGGATAAACATCTGTAATTCTGTGCTCTGTAATGTGCAGATCAGTGTCTGATGTTGGATTAAAGTGCGTTTATGGGGCGTTTAATCACAATAACAGAATGCAGTTATATACATAATGCCTCTAATGCAGTCTGTATACATGTGCGACGGGGATCAAGCCTTTATTTACTAGTCAATAATCATAGTGACAGTGACCAAGTAATATCTTAGCACACATTAAAGCATTGTAATGTAATAAAATTTGAAAGTTAGTGTTGTCTCTCTTGGTTTGTCTCAGGGAGTGTGTGTGTTTGTGGTTGGCCTGCGTCTTGCCTTGGTTCTACTGAATGGTCTGCAAATGTATTTCTTTTTTATTGAGTCAAAGCTGTATTTTGATTGGCTTTTACTGTCTTCAGTGTGACATGACTCAGAAATAATGTTGATTTGCTTTATTGCTTATCAATTCATTCTTATTCTTAGTTGAAAAAGCTTGTGTTGCTTAATGAAGTTTATAAAAAATTTTTTTTTTCAGGTTTCACAGATTAACAAAGGAGACATTTTAACGAGGAAGCGTTTATTTCCAACAGACAGCGCGAACTTGGAAGGGAGGGAGTTTATTGAAACGCAGGGTCAGTTTGGTGAAGCATCTACTCTTATAGTCCATCGCCTGACTATAGGAGGCGCTGTGACGTAATTTTGCCGCCAGTGAAACCACTGAAGAAACAAGACTGGAGCTCTCAGACGGTGAGTGTTTTATTTATTTATTTAATCAGCGACAGTACACATTGTTAGTACATAAAAATATGTAAGATGCGCTAGATTTAGCCAACATGGCTATTTTTCATCCTTTGTCCCTTTTGCAGTTAAAGACATAGACTCACAAATACTACCATACCAGAATAGCAATAAATGTTCACAATTTTGATTCAACATTAACTATATTTTCAGCTTTTGAGAAACCACAATGACATGTTATTTGTTTACTTCTTTCAACTCCATTGAATGTCTATTCCACGTGTTCCTCTAAAAACCAAAGATAGCTGCTAAATGTAGTTCTTAGTGGCACCTTACCTTACAATCACCAGCTTGTGTACAGTCCTGTTATCTGACCAATATAATCCTTAAAAACACGGGGAGCAAGGCCATTTTGAATCTACTAATTTAGTCTTTTTTTACATTTATTGTTTTAGCTGTTAATGTGTTTGCTTTTGTTTTACAATTTTTTTAATAAAGCTTTTCCTCGCCCTCTCAATGTATGAACATGGTTTTGTTACACTTAAAGTAGCTATGGTTTTGGCCGTTTGACTACCATTTGTATGACCACAGTTTTACCATAAATACCATGTCTTTTTGTTTGTTTTGTAGTTACCATGGTAAAAAAATAATTATAAATGCTTTAAAAGTTTCGGGAGAAATTAGTAGAAATCTGGCAATATCATGATTAATATCTGAATGTAAGACATTAAATAATAATCCTACCCTGTGCTGGCTAAATATTAGAATTAAGACCCATAAACACATAATAAATAATTCTGAATATTCTCAGAAATGAAATGTTAACTTCTTTAAGTCAGTTCTATGTAGTTCTGTTCTTGTTCATTCGTATGTAAACAAACAGTGGCAGTCCATTATAAATGCTTCTTTTAATAATGATGTTGTGTTTGTCTTCAGGTGTTGCCCATGTGAGCGCAGATGGATGTGATCTGCTGTAAATGAGAACGCATCATTTCACCCTTCAGCTCAAACCAAAGTTTAGTTAGCGTATCATTTCTTATGCACGTCTCAGATTAAAATGTCATGACCACCCCCCGCACACTTTCTCCAGTCCGTATCTTTGATCTGCGTTGCGTGCGTTCTGCACGGAAACTGCTTTTAAACACACTCCTTATGTTTTTACATGATTTGAACTCCCTACTGTAATGCGATTTCATGCGTAATTAGAGGTGTAACGATATTCAAACCGAACTGAAAAACTGTGATCACAATACTACGAATCTGATGATAAACAGGAGACTCTTCTCAAAATATCTTTCTCTCAATGAGAGAGGACATTTTAATCTAACACAGGAAAGTAAAGACTTTAAAGGTTGTTATCAGCGATTTCAGGCCCAGAAAAGGCCAAAACATAAATGATCACATTCATCTTATCTTTCTTAACGATCCGGTAGCTAGTAGCTGCCCGCCCCATAAGCAGGCCGTCAAAAAGAAAAATGCCTCTCTGTAGGCAGCCTAGGATCTGAGATCCGCACACGAAAACAATTGGGTTCACCAACCATTCAAAACCAAAATAAATAGTGTTGCAACCAATCATGTACATGTCTTTACTGTGTTATAGCTCAGGATCATGGATCTGCTGATCAAACCTCTGTCTGTAATGCTGGAGAACTGCAGGTGAAGATGTGCTCCGTCAAACTGGAGGACTGCAGGTACCTGATAGAGAGACGAGGAGAAGAAACCACAGCAGAAGAACAACAACAACAGAGCCATGAGGAAGAGGAGGATGAAGATAAGATTGTGGATGTTGATGATAATGACTTAGTTCTGACAGGTTTGTTCTTCATTAATGGCTCGTTTCCACTGAGCGGTAAGGCCAATTTATACTTCTGCGTAGGGTGTTCGCAGTAGGTACGGTGTAGCATACGCACAGAAGCGTCCCATACCGCGTACCCTTCGCTGTAGCCTGATGCGCACCTCCTCAAAAATGTAACTACACGTCGCGACGTCGCGTACCGCAAGATCTGTGATTGGTCAGCTTGGTAGCATCGCATTTCCTCCTACGCATGTCCACACGTACCATCTCCTCCGACATCATTTTTCGTTTCTGCCTTTTAGTTTTTGTAATTTGACTAAAATGAACTGTTTTTCCACCTCAATAAGCTCCAACTCCAACATGATCCGCTCTCTTTCAGTCGCCATTCCTTGTAGTAACCTAGCCGCGAGGAATCTAAACACAGTGGAACATTCAAACTCTCTGCCGCCAACTAGCGTTTCGGAGTAGTATTGCAGAGCAACCAAGACCTGAACGCAGAAGTATAAATGCTCACGATGGCGTCGCCTATGTGCGTACCCTTGACGCAGAAGTATAAATTGGCCTGTACAGTACGGTTCGGGTCGGCAAACCATGATCCAACCAACGTTTCCAACGCCAACAGTACTCTTACTTGATAGGCGTGGTGTTTGCCGTAAAGAAGTGATCGACGTAATTTCACATGAAGAAGAAAGCGAAATAGTAAACAACAATGGATGGCATACAGCAGATCCTGTTCTTGCTTCTCGGCATGTTTGTCACAAAAAGACAAGCGCCGACATTAGGCGTTTCCAATGATTTGGGCTTTAAACAACTACATTCTCGCATGAAAAACTCTTAAAACTACAATTCGTGACACAATAAAAGTAGTATTATATTTCAACTCTATGTTTAAAAAATGGCGCTTCTAATGTTGTCATTCTCCTTGTAGCACACGCAAGTGACGATTCCCTGTAAACCAATCAACGTTCTGCAGTGAGTCTAGCTCCACCTTTTAGTACCGGCATTTAGTTTGGCATTTTGTGTACTATTCACAACTTTTGACAGTGGAAACGCAAATAATTGCGTACCGTACCGCTCAGTGGAAAGAGCCATTACATAATTTGCCCACCGACGCCGAAGCTCATTTCCATTTAAAGGGACACACACAAAACAATGTGTTTTTGCTCACCCTCAAAAAGGGACAATTTTAACATGCTAAAAAATTACCTGTGTGGTATTTTGAGCTGAAATTTCACATACACACTCTGCAAAGTCTGTGATTTAAAGCGGTGATATTATAGCTATGATGTCCCCAGTTTATATTTTATGCCCATTATGTTCCTTTCAGATGATGACGCTGGTTCATCTTCTGATGGAGAAACTGCCTCTATGTCCAAAGTGCGACAGACAAGAAAGAGATTCTCCTGTGGAAAACCATTCAGCAAACAGGATCATTTAGCGAGACGTAGGAGAAAACACACAGAACAGAAAGACTTCACCTGCAAGAGATGTGACATCAGCTTTTCTACCTCAGAAGAGAAGAGACGTCATTCAAAACAGCACAAGAAGAAAGAGTTTCATTGTGATCAGTGTGGGAAGAAATTTAATTCCTCTTCTTGTTTCTACCGTCATAAGACGACTCATACGGACAGGGAAGAACCAGTGTACCAATGCCCTCACTGTGAGAAGAGCTTCACCCAGGGATGGATTCTGAAGAACCATCTACTCGTGCACAGCGATGAGAGGCCGTACAAGTGCTGTGAATGTGAGAAGAGCTTCAAAAAAAAATCCATTCTGAAGAGCCATCTACTCACACACACCAATGAAAGGCCGTACAAGTGTCCTCACTGCGAGAAGAGCTTCAACCAGGGATCCCATCTGAGGAGCCATCTACGCATACACACCAATGAGAAGCCGTACAAGTGCCCTCACTGTGAGAAGAGCTTCAGAGATGGATCTAATCTGAGAAAACATCTATTCATTCACACCAAAAAGAGGACGTACCAGACGAACCATCTATTCACACACACCAATGAGATTACATATCAGTGTCCTCACTGTGAGAAGAGCTTCAATGAGCGATCTAATTTGAGTGAACATCTACTCACACACACCAATGAGAGGCCGTACAAGTGCAGTGAATGTGAGAAAACCTTTACAAAGCCAAAATCTTTGAAGGAACACCAAAAAATACACTCTGAAGTCAAACCGTTTCAGTGTTCACACTGTGAGAAACGTTTCCATCATTCGACGCACCGGAAAACCCATGAGAGGATTCACACCGGAGAGAAACCGTACCTGTGCTCCTTCTGCGGGAAGAGCTTTGCGACTCCATTTTCTTTCAGAATTCATCAGAGAGTTCACACTGGAGAAAGACCTTATCACTGTGGTGATTGTGGGAGAAGTTTTTACAAGCCAAGTGACTTAAAAATACACAAGAGGACTCATACAGGAGAAAGACCTTTTAAATGCTCACATTGTGACAAGACTTTTGCTCGATCAAGTGACCTGAAGGTCCATGAACGAATGCATACAGGAGAGAAACCTTACCGCTGCTCCATCTGTGGTGAGAGATTCTCTTTTAAATGGGGTTTTCAGACTCACCGGAAGAAACACGCTGTTTTACAATCATCATAGCTTCATCGTGTCACTGTGTGACCCGTGCTGGCAAAATGAGTTGCAATGAGCAAAATATAACAAAATTGTTATTGTTATTTTCACATTCTTAATAAAAAAACCCTTCAAAATGATAATAATTTGTTGGAGTGGGATCTGTTTGAGTCAGCAAAGTCAATTTTGAGGAAATTCGAGGTAAAAAACTAAGCAACCATACCTTAAAATCCCTAATAACACCAAATTTGCCATACAAACTTAAAACCAAATATCTTTAGGAAAAATATATATTCAACCTTTTTTCCTGATGATACCTTAATTAACACTAATGAGACAGACAGCCTATATTACTCTACTGCACAGATAATGTTACACATCAGATGTGTTTTCCCAGACAGTAAACCAAATCTTAATTTAAGACATAACAGATAATGTTTGCGTGAATACTCGCCAAGACAGATGTTTTCAAATACTGTATAATATTCTATTTGAAACTATTAAAATGTTGTTTTTCGTCTTCAATGTCACATGGCCCTTCAGAAATCTTTCTAGTATGCTGATCTGCTGCTCAGGAAATCTTTCTTATTAGGCTTTTTATAGCAGTTTAAAATGCTTGTGCTGCTTAATAAAGTGTAGAAAATGACAGTGTTTTATTTAGGATTCAACAACAGAAGTGAAGAACAGCATTTATTTCAAACAGAGAGCGTCTGGAACATGTACCCTCCTTTAATTCAGCCTCTGACACCTTCCTCTGATATCTGGCTGAGCGCGCTTTCTCCTTTCTTTCACAGAAAGCCGCGAACTCGCGTAATTCAAATATTAACGGTAATTTTGATACTGGCTGACTGACCGCGTAAAGCCGCGAACTCAGTCATTTAAAAAAAAAAAGAGCGGTAATTTCGATTAACGGCTGATTTACTAACATTCGTTCATCAATTTTCTTAATAATCACATAAAATTATGATAGTTTATTAGTCTCTTGGAAACGCCACTGACTGGGAATTTGGGAAAATAGGTTTGGTGTACACTGTAGATCCTCTTACTTTTATCGCTCGTACTGTAGAAGGCGCTGTGGCGTTATTTAGTCCAGCGGTATAACCACTGAAGAAACTAAAGAAAGACGACTGACTGGAGCGATCAGACGGTAAGTGTTTAGTCTATTTTACATTGTTATGCGTTTTACCTCATGTGCTTCTTCTTGTTTTTGTCCTAGTTTTAATGAGTTTAGCTGAAGCTTTCTTTGTCCATTTGCCTGAAAAAATTACATTGGTTTTACAAGAGTAACCATAAATGTCCTGTTGTTTCATTACAGTAACCATTTTTTAACCATGGTATTGGTAATAAATATCACAATGCTTAATTTTTAGTGCTGCATGTTTTTAAAAATGTCATGTTTTCTGATGAAATTTGTAGGAATCTGATAATATCCAGTATGAGTTATACATGTAATGAAAATATTCCTGGTTTGTGCTGAAATAATACTGAAACTATGTAAACGGTCATACAATTTTACCTCTAAAAATAAACATTTATGAATATTCTCCAAAATATTTTGAGTTTAAATCAGTGTCCGTTCATTACAAATGCATCCTGTAATAATGATGATGTCTTCAGATGTTGACCATGAGAGTGCAGATGGATGTGAACTGCTGTAAATCGGTGGGAACGGATCTGTCCATGCTGGATATTGAGGATTTCATCACTGAAATCTGTCAGCTGAAGAAAGAGGTGGCGTCACTGGAGGCAAAGCTGAGAGAAAGAGGAGACAAACCCAACAGAGAGGTTTGAGCAGCTCATCATTTCATCCTTCAGCTCAATCAAACCAAAGTTGTGTTAGCTTCTCACTTCTTATGCACATCTCTAATTAATCCAGCAGCAAAACATGCTAACTAATCAATATAACCTGAGTAATGAGGTTAAAATCAACAGGTTGTTCTTTGTTTATCTATTTTTGTCAGGTTTCAGTGTGTGTGACTGATGGGACAGAAGCTCAGGATTCAGTCTGGAGATCCAGAGACACACAGGACTCAGAGCTCAGCCTCACTTTACTGTGTTATACTGACGCTCAGGATCATGGATCCGCTGATCAAACCTCTGACTGTAACGCTGGAGAACTGCAGATGAAGATGTGCTCCGTCAAACTGGAGGACTGCAGGTACCTGATAGAGAGACGAGGAGAAGAAACCACAGCAGAGGAACAACAACAGAGCTTTAAGGAGGAGGAGGAGGAGGATGAAGATGAAGATCAGGATAATAATGTTGATGAAGATCAGAATGATGATGAGAATTATGAAGATGAAGATCAGAATGATGTTGTTGATGACTTTGTTCCTTCAGGTATGTTTCATTTTATAATGAATGAACAGAATTACTATTATTTAATTCACATTGTGAGCTCCACGTGTGTAAAATATCACAGTGGCTACGTTAACATGCACAAATTTTGTTTTAATCGGACTGAATTTACTCCGATTGATGAATCTGAATGTAGCGTTTGTACAGTGTGTTATATGACCGACATACCTCACGGGGCCACAGCCGCGCCTTCTCCTCTTTTTTAAAACGCGATATGTGAACGGCCCCTTACTCAGCACAATAGGAACTGTTAGTGTTCGCTGATTGACCGAACATCACCCTTGCGTTCTAAGGACATTACATGTAGTCACGCAATGCTAACGTTGTTAAAGTCGTCATGAAATCAAATTTTACCATTCGTGGTTTTTTATGTAATGTTGTAGTGTTTATTATAAATGATTTATCTGTGCACTTCATTATTTTTAAAAAATTCATGTACCGTTATAATCTTTAATCAAATACGTTGGCCTTCCCTCCCCCCTCAAAACTACTTCTTCTCTTTCGATCAAAAACTATTACTAACTATTACTGGAGCCCTACTGATCAAAATTCAGATATAAAATTTACAGAAAAACTTCGACATTTCATGGTCATTATGTTCTTTTCAGAGGACAATGCTGGTTCATCTTCTGATGAAGAAACTGCCTCTACATCCAAACAGCGACAGACAAGAAAGAGATTCTCCTGTGGAAAAACATTCAGCAAACAGGAAAATTTAGCCGGAAATGACATAAAACACACAGAACAGAAAGACTTCACCTGCACAAGATGCGACATCAGCTTTCCTACCTCAAAAGAGAGGAGACTTCATTCAAAAGAGCACACCGTGAAGGAGGAGTTTCGCTGCGAACAGTGCGGGAAGGATTTTTTCACCACTGCTCAGAATATGAGAGCTCATATTAAGACGCACAGCGAAAAGACTTTCCACTGCAGCGAGTGCGACAAGTGTTTCCGCACCACACAACAACTTTCAATGCATAAGCGAAGCCACACTGGCGAAAAGCCGTACAAATGCCCTCACTGTGAGAAGAACTTCAGCTTGAGATCTGGTCTGAGGAGCCATGTACGCACACACACCAATGAGAGGCCGTACAAATGCAGTGAATGTGAGAAGAGCTTCAACCAGAGATCCCATCTGAATAAACATCTACTCATACACACCAATGAGAGGCCGTACAAGTGCGCTCAATGTGAAAAGAGCTTCAACCAGGAATGGGGTCTGAAGTGCCATCAACTCATACACAGCAATAAAAGGCTGTACAAGTGTCCTCACTGCGAGAAGAGCTTCAACCAGGGATCGTCTCTGAAGAACCATCTACTCACACACTCCAGTGAGAGGCCGTACAAGTGTCCTCACTGCGAGAAGAGCTACAAAGAGGGATGTAAACTGAAGAAACATCTACTCATACACGCCAAAGAGAGTCTGATCGAGTACCCTCAATGTGAGAAGAGCTTCAACCAGGAATCTAAACCGAATAAACTTCCACTAGCACACACCAAGGAGAGGCCGTTTCAGTGCAGTGAATGTGAGAAAACCTTTACAAACTCAACTTATCTAAAGGCACACAAAAAAATACACAATGAATTCAAACCGTACCAGTGTTCTCACTGTGAGAAACGTTTCCATCATTCGACTCACCGGAAAACCCATGAGAGGATTCACACCGGAGAGAAACCGTACCTGTGCTCCTTCTGCGGGAAGAGCTTTGCTAGTCCATATTCATTCAAAGTTCATCTGAGAGTTCACACTGGAGAAAGACCGTATCACTGTAGTTATTGTGGGAAGGGATTTTATAAGCTAAGTGACTTAAAAATACACAAGAGGATTCATACAGGAGAAAAACCTTTTAAATGCACACAATGTGACAGGAATTTCACTCGATCAAGTGACCTAAAGATCCATGATCGATGGCATACAGGAGAGAAACCTTACCACTGCTCCATCTGTGGCGAGAGATTTGCTTTTAAATGGGGTTTTCAGACTCACCAGAAGAAACACGCTGCTCCAGAATCATCATAGCTTCGTGTCTTATTTTTAGTGTTATGGGAACGTTATTTTATGTTTGTAAAAAGTAAAACCTAAAACCACAATATCTGTGGAACATTATTTACTGTGTAGAAATGAATCCTCTGGATCCTTTCTTTTTGACAACTTTAAATTCTCTGTAATGTCCTGATCAGTGTTTGTTATTGGATTCAAGTGTGTGTTTATCACTTTAATCTCTTGAATGATACTTATTGCTAAGTGAGTGCGTAAGTAGATCAACTTTGTAAGGTGCATAAGTACTGGCTTAAATACCTCGTTGCTTAGTTTAGATTTTAGTCATTTGCAGACTATAGGCTTTGCTGTGCTAAATTTAAGGGCGTGGACCAACTCCTCGAGTGAAGACCAAGAGCTCGGGCGATTAAAAATGTAATTTAAAATTTAAAATAATGTAATTTAAAATTACTGTTTTCTATTGAATTTATATTCAAATGTTTGTTTTTCAGTGAGTCAAAGCAGCTTTTGACTGGTCGTTACCCCAGTCTTCAGTGTTGCATGATCTTTCAGAAATCATTCTAATACGCTGATTTACTGCTCAAGAAAGCTTGTTGAAGTAACAGTTGAAAATGCTTGTGGAAACTGACGAAGTACTGTTTTCCAGGATTCATAGACCAACAGAATGAGCAAAGAACAGCATTTATTTAAAATAAAAAGTTTCTGGAACATTTTTTTAAAATAAAATAAATTGAATGCATCCTTGCTGAAAATTTTTTTTTTTTTTTTTTTTTTTACATCAATCTGAGCCCAAATATAATCAATTATGAATTGTACACCAAATAAAAACTTTATCTGTAGTTTATTATGAAAACCTTTATTTGCCTCTAGTCTTCTATCTACTCCATCCCTCGTACTGTAGGAGGCGCTGTGCCGTTATTTAGTCTACCGGTAAAACCACTGAAGAAAGACAACAACTGGAGCATTCAGACGGTGAGAGTAATCTGTTTTACATATTTATGCGTTTTAGCTGTTTGCTTGTTATTTGTCTGGCTCTAGTTTTTAATGAACTTAAGTGAAGCTTCTTCTCGCCCACTTGGCTTATGAAAAATACCGATAGTTTTGCTACAGAAAGCCATTTAAAATGTCCTCATGTTTTACTAACCATGTTTTAAAAATGATATTTGTAATAAACCGATACTATACCACCATAATGGTTTATTTTCAATGCTAGATGCTTGAAATTAATAGAAATCTGACAATATCATGTTTAATATCTTAATATATGATTATGAGTTATGCATAATGTCAAATAATATTTGATTAAATTCCTGCTCTGTGCTTGCTTTATACTGAAACTATACACAAATGCTCCTAAAGACTTTTACATCTGAAATAAATATTTCTGAATATTCTAAGTTCATTATAAATGCAGATAAGTAATGATGATGTGTTTGTCTTCAGACATTGACCATGAGAGCGCAGATGGATGTGAACTGCTGTAAATCAGTAGGAACGGATCTGTCCATGCTGGATATTGAGGATTTCATCACTGAAATCTGTCAGCTGAAGAAAGAGGTGGCGTCACTGGAGGCAAAGCTGAGAGAAAGAGGAGACAAACCCGACAGAGAGGTTTGAGCAGCTCATCATTTCATCCTTCAGCTCAATCAAATCAAAGTTGTGTTAGCTTCTCACTTCTTATGCACATCTCTAATTAATCCAGCAGCAAAATATGCTTAATTAGTCAATATAACCTGAGTAATCAGGCTAAAATCAACAGGTTGTTCTTTGTTTATCTATTTTTGTCAGGTTTCAGTGTGTGTGACTGATGGGACAGAAGCTCAGGATTCAGTCTGGAGATCCAGAGACACACAGGACTCAGAGCTCAGCCTCACTTTACTGTGTTATACTGACGCTCAGGATCATGGATCCGCTGATCAAACCTCTGACTGTAACGCTGGAGAACTGCAGATGAAGATGTGCTTCGTCAAACTGGAGGACTGCAGGAGCCTGATAGAGAGACGAGGAGAAGAAACCACAGTAGAGGAACAACAACAACAGAGTCATAAGGAGGAGGATGAAGATGAGAATAATGATGATGATGATGACTTTGTTCCTCCAGGTATGCTTCTTATATGACCAGGTGCTGAAGTAACAGAATTAGTATTAAATTGAACTTTGAACTAATCATCTCTGTCCAATCTGCTTTCAGATCCTACACAATTTTATTTTAACTGACCATTCAGCTTTAGAAGTTATAGAAAAGGATACATATTTAATGCTCTTTTTATGTTATAATAATTATAATGACATATAATTTTATGTTCCTTTCAGATGACAACGCTGGTTCATCTTCTGATGGAGAAACTGCCTCTACATCCAAACAGCGACTGACTGTGAAGAGATTCTCCTGTGGAAAAACAGTCAGAAAACTAGGGCTTTTAACGAGACGTAAGATAAAACACACAGAGCAGAAAGACTTCACCTGTAAGATATGTGACATCAGCTTTCCTACCTCAAAAGAGAAGAGACTTCATTCAAAAGAGCACACCGTGAAGAAGGAGTTTCGCTGCAAACAGTGCGGGAAGGATTTTTTCACCACTCCTTATAATATGAGAGCTCATATAAAGACACACAGCGAGAAAACTTTGCACTGCAGCGAGTGCGACAAGTATTTCCGCACCAACCAACATCTTTTAATGCATAAGAGAATCCACACTGGTGAAAAGCCGTACCAGTGCCCTCAATGTGAGAAGAGCTTCAACCAGAGGCCCCATCTGAAGAGCCATCTACGCATTCACAGCAATGAGAGGCCGTTTCAGTGTCCCCTTTGTGAGAAGAGCTTCAACCAGAGGCCCCATCTGAACAACCATCTACTCATACACACCAACAAGAGCCCATACAATTGTCCCCTCTGCGAGAAGAGCTTCAAATGTGGAACCAGTCTGAAGAAACATCTACTCACACACACCAGTGAAAGGCCGTATCAGTGCAGTGAATGTGAGAAAACCTTTACAAACTCAAATTCTCTGAAGGAACACCAAAAAATACATTCTGATATCAGACCATATCAGTGTTCACACTGTGAGAAACGTTTCTATCATTCAGCGCACCGGAAAACCCATGAGAGGACTCACACCGGGGAGAAACCATACCTGTGCTCCTTCTGCGGGAAAAGCTTTGCTAGTCCATTTTATTTCAAAGTTCATCAGAGAGTTCACACTGGAGAAAAACCTTATCACTGTGGTGATTGTGGGAAGGGATTTACTAATTCAGGTGGCTTACAAATGCACCAGAGAACTCATACAGGAGAAAAACCTTTTAAATGCTCACAATGTGACAGGAATTTCACTCGATCAAGTGACCTAAAGATCCATGAGCGATGGCATACAGGAGAGAAACCTTACCACTGCTCCATCTGTGGCGAGAGATTCTCTTTTAAATGGGGTTTTAAGACTCACCAGAAGAAACACGCTGCTCCAGAATCATCATAGCTTCATCTAATCATTAATAATTAAAAAAAAACACCTAGTCAAGTCACCTTCATTTATATAATGCTTTTAACAATATGGACTGTTTCAAAGCAGCTTTTCAGTGATAATTCTAGAGCTGCTGTGAAGCCAAAACAATCTCTGTTACTCCAATTTCCTATTAAGTAATTGTTCAGCTAAAGTTAGTTTTGATTCACTTCCGTCACAACGATCATTAGTTATTAAATTAGGGGCCCTTTTCACAACACCGACACCGGCCCACTCATTTGCACAACAGTGTTTGGTGCTCAAGAACACAAACCTTGAAATAGGTCCCAAAGTCCAAGCATTTTTTCTTTCGTTTTTTTTAATATCTGCCTGAGCTTCAAAAACACAAACCTGTGAAAACGCTGATGGCGTGTACATAAGTATTACGTGTTTAGTCTATAGGTATGCATGTTTAAAATACACTGAGCAAAATTATAAACGCAACACCTTTGTTTTTGCACTCGTTTTTCAAGAGCAGAACTCAAAGATCTTAGACTTTTTCTATGTACACAAAACCTGTTTCTCTCAAGTTTTGTTCACAAATCTTTCTAAATCTGTGTTAGTGAGCACTTCTCCATTGCCGAGATAAGCTATCCACCTCGAAATATTAAGATTCTGATTAGACAGTCACAGAATGATTCTTAGGCTGGTCACAATAAAAGGCTACTCTAAAGCGTGAGGAAGGAGATACACCGATAACCCATTTACAGCTGGCATGATTGGGTGAGGGAATAGAGAAATCTAGAATGAAGACCTCCTCACCAATCGCCTTATTCTGCTATGCCTTTTTCTCTCTGACTGATACATGTATAAAATAATAAATAGAAATCTCTTGGCAAAAGTAACTGGTGTAGCTTCCGTGATTCAACCATAACTGGGGAAAGCATTATTTTCAAATCTACACTTAGGTTCCTAACCATTGACGAAGGATTGACTGAGCAGCCATCAAGTGTTAGACAGATTTCTAGGTCATCACGTGAGGAAGTTTTTTGTCCAATAATTAGAATCTCTGTTTTATTTAGACTTTAGTAGAAAATTACGAGTCATCCAGTTTTTTATATCATCTATGCGTTCCGTCAATTTTGTGAACTGGCAAGTTTCGTCAGGGCATGAAGAAATATAGAGCTGAGTATCATCAGCGTAACAGTGAAAAGTAATACCTAATGATATCTCCCAAGGGTAGCATGTACAGGGTGAACAGTAACGCTCCTAGTACTGAGCCTTGTGGTACCCAATACTGAACTTGTGATCGATTAGACAACTCTTCATTTACTGCTACACACTGATGACGGTCAGATAAGTATGATTTAAACCATGCTAATGCAATTCTACTAATGCCAACACTATTTTTGAGTCTATTTCTGTCAGTGGTGTCAAATGTGGTCATTTTTGTAAAGTAGTGGACAGAAAAATGGGAAAATGCAAATTCCAGCCGAGGTGGTTGTTTTTAGACATAGTTGTTGCCCCTTAGTGGTAAAAATGATGAAGGATTTTGCGGCTTTTGTAAGTTGGGGATGGAAATCAGTGCCGTGAAATCTCATATGCAGTGTGACGGCCACAAATCGGCGATAAGAGTCAGGCAGCAAACAACTATGTTTAATTACTTTGGCGTGACCTACAAATCTTCAAGTAGTAACCTTACGGCGACAACTGATGCTGTAGTCACCAAGTTTGTGGAGCAGCTAACGTTACATAATTGAGCGACATTCGATCAGCATTTGGCTCGAATGCGACTTTGAAGGCGGAGGTGCTCTGGTGTCTGAACACTGCTGTCCATCACCGTCCAATTAAGGTGTTTCTGTTGTTCCAGGCAATGTTTCTTGATTCTGAAATCGTCAAATCTTTCTCTTGTGGCAAGGACAAAACCAGCTACATTTTAAAATTTGGACTTGCCCCATACTTCGAAACTGATTACTGCAGTTAACGATGCAGGACTATTTGTGTTGATGTTTGATGAGAGTTTAAACCATTCAACAAAAAATAAACAACTATGTCCATGTTTGATTTTGTGAGGCTGGTTGTGTCCAGTCCCGCTATCTGGCATCACAGTTCATGGGACATTCAAAGAGTGAGGATCTACTGCACTATGTCAAAGTAAGTATAGTTGTTCTTTTGTTCATGCGTTTGTGATTCTGAAAAGGAAAAAGATTAGGCTTCTTCTTCCATCTTGTGGACAACCGTAGTATTGCAGCCTTCATTTTGTCAGTTGTCAGTTTATAATTTGATGTTAGGCCATAGAGCATCAGCAATTCATTATTAAGCATGTTTCCTCAGAATAACTTGTTGAACTTTTAGAATAACCTATTTCTTGTTGGTGGTGGGGGTTTTGTTTTTAATTAAAGCAAATTTGCAATAATCAAACATGTCTGTAACATCTTTTCAGCATTTTTTGTTGGTCTCATGATTTATTTATTTCTGTTTTCAGAAATGTGTGCACCAACTAGATGTGAAACATCTCATTTCCATTAGTATGGATGGCCCCAACGTGATCTTTTAAGTTCCACAATAATCTCCAGCAAGAACATGTAAACTATGGAGGTCGACAGCTAATTTCGTTTGTGAGCTGTACACAATTAATTCAAGACTGGCTTCTCCCCATGAAAACTATTGAGTATTGAGTAACATCTGAGAGCAATGGACTTTGTTTTTCACAGTGTCCCTGCAAGAAGGGAAGATTATACAAAACTTACCGGCTCATCTCTTTCCACTCCCATTCTGTGGACACAGATGGGTAGAAAACCTGCCTGTTGCAGAGAGAGCCACCAAGGTATGGCCAAAGCTGAAAGAATATGTAGAAGCAGTCCGTAGAAAAGAACTACCAAACCCTGGAACCTCTTCTTTTGATATAATAAAAATAAAGATCCCCTGATCTTAGACAAACTTCAGTTTTTCATGGCGTTATCCAGAACGTTTTGTGCATTCTTGAAGAAATACCAGACTGATGAGCCGGTCTTGCCATTTCAGTGCAGAGACTTGACAGTGTTAATGCTAATAGTCTAATCTCTGCTTCATTTTAAAGGCTATTTTTTGTTTTATGATAACCTTTCAAGTGGGTATACCACATTTAATAATTGTATACCTGTGTAGGATGGAATTACAAAGCTGGTTAAGAGGATGCTAAATAATTAGACTTTTTTTTTCTTCCTTTTTGTAGAGTCTGGTGAGACGTTTCATCAAAATCACTCCCTTTAAACTGACCAAACTTGACACTGATGACCAGAAGATCTGGATCAGTGCAAACCACACATTGGATTGGGTGCTGACTCTGTCCTTAAGGTAATGCATTGTTACTGTTTTTTATTTATACATAAACTTTAAACCATACTGCATTTTTAACACATACTCCATCTATATATATTGTACGTTGAAAACATATAAAATTCTAGTAAAATACCTCTAAAAACATTCAATCCAATCAAATATAGTGTCTATAATTAGATTAATATCTCAGTGATTATAATTAGTCATGTTTTTACATTATTTTTATTATCTGTTATACAATCTGTAGTGAACGTGTCATGGAAATCTACCAGATGATGTTTATTTCTTCAGTTAGCAGACATGTTCATGTTCACAAAGTAAAAACAGTGTAAACACAGTCCTCTGATAGTGACCTTCATTATGTATTTATTTATTTATTTGACTTGAGAGCTGAAGTTAAAGTATCTTTTTTACCGTGCAGCATAGCAGAATACATACAGACATAACTGAACACTATAGCAAAACGTTACATGTTTGTTTTGTCTCTGAGCTTCATCGTCTTGTAGGTCTGAAGTCTCTAATGTCCTCATTATTAATGGCCAGATTTTAACAATCATCAGGACGGTCTCTAACTAAGCTGTTGGGAGGTAAAAGCAAAGGAGAGAGAGATGAAATAAGCATTTAATGACGTTAACATTATATTTTATCTACTCAATGGAGTCCTAGTGATTTCCTGAGCATTTTACTTTTGAAGAACATCATCTCAAGAGCTTCACGCACCTCTCACAGTGACTTTGCTCAGCGCTTCGCTGGACCCCACGTGATTGGTCGCCACACATTTATACGTCCCGCTGTCTGATGCTTTGAGCCGAGTGATCTTCAGCAGACCGTCTTTGGTTGACTCCGCCCTCGGCGACATGGAGGCTCCGCCCACACGCGTCCAGAGGAAGCGGATTGGATGAGTGCCATGAGCGAGACACTGCAGACGCAAGGCATCCCCGGGACGGGCGACGATCTCATCCGTCAGTACGGTGGCATACGGAGGCGCTGAGGAGACACGACAGTTAAGATTTTTTGTTATTGTTTTATTTATCTTTAATTTACTAGATTTAATCAAGAAATAATGAATCGCAATTTAAGCACATTCCTCTCATTCTTTCAACTTAAATTCAAAATAATTCACAATTTCAATTCGAATTTTGAGCATTTGTAGGTTTGTACTTGTCCTCGCATTCCATAAATTCCTAAGGGGGTCAATGACCCGTGAGGGAAGGATTTGTTACGTTTTTGAATTTCAACCTCAAAACTAATCAAATCCTTAGTAATTTTTTTGTGTGTGTGTATATTCATGGTTCAAGTGCGATAAAAGTCATGGGGACCCCTCTGATGAACCCTCAATTTTTAAAAAATTTCCAAAAATAAAACCGGGTCAAAATGACCCGAGGGAAGGATTAATGAAATATTAAGCGAGTGATGTTTCCCCCCCACTCCCTTATTGTTTGCACACAGGCTCTTTCACCATGATCCCTCAGTCCAAAGATCAGTCTGATTTAAAACTCAGTTTTCCCCTTCTTCATTTGTGTGAAACTAAACGGCTTTTTGCTCAAATGTGGCTCCTTTTCAGGTTCCCATGTGGTTAAGTTCGCTTTGGCTGCTTAGAATCTTCTTAAAGTTCAGTGACCGCATGTTGCGGGTTTATTGCTCAGATGTCTTACAATATCAGCCGAAAGTCTACGTTTACCGTCTACACTGACCTGTGACCAGCTCACAGAGCTCAAGCATGATTTCTGACGCCAAGGTCAGCAGTGTAAAGAGGGTGTTTGTGTCACTCACAGTCCACCTCCAGCTGCACGTAGGCCTCGCTGAAGCCCGCCGCGTTCGTGGCGTTACAGATGTACTGACCTGAGAGACAGAGAATCAATCTATCATAAGTAATCAATACATCATCAGTCCTTCTTCTAAAACTTGTTTTTGTCTTACTCTGATTCACTATGGTAAGCCTATTGTAAGTGTTTATGTTTTAGACCTGTCGGTATAGTTTTGGCCGGTAAATGCGTGCATTGTTCACTCGCCCGTGTGTGTTTCCCCTAGGGGTGTAACGGTACATGTATTCGTATTGAACAGTTTCGGTTCGAGGCTTCCGGTTCGGTACGCATACAAACTGAACGATTCCTAGGACTATTTTTCCTGCCGACAAAATTCGCGCTGGCGCGGCCACCACAACATTGCGCAACATCAAATGGCAAGCGGTATGAAAGCGGAACAAAACTGCGGTACTCATTATGTGCTTCACGGATCGTTTATCAGTTCGGACCAGCAACGTTTATTGAACAGATAAACTGTCATATGTAGCTTTCTAAAAGAGATCACTGTAAAGTATTATCTATTGTGAAGATCGTTTCATTATAGTTGTTGTAGCTGGAGTTTATTTTTAAGGAAGTACCATGTCTATTAATGGGTAAAACTACAGGAACGTCTTCAGCTAGACAACTTGAGATCCTCTGATGTAAACTGGTAATATCTCTAGTAGGTGAATGTTGAACAATGTTCTTCCTTTTAAAAGTTATTTTCTTGTTTATTTCTTCGAAGCTGCTTTGCTTTAAATAAATGTGAATTGATTTTACACTGAAAACATTTGAGTAGAAACAATTTCACAGAAATTAATATTAAACAATTCACAATTATTACGATTAAGTACAATGATTTACAGCAATATTAGTTCAATATTCATCCCATATGTAAAGCACGTCTTCACTCACTCATGCTGTACCTGAGTCCTGCCGTCCCACGTTACTGAGGGTCAGACTGCTGCCGCTCACGCTGTGCTGCCATGGCAACGGCGCCCGCAGCTTCGACCAGGAAATGACCGGAGTCGGTGTACCTGAGGAAAACACAGAGGAATTATAATGTAAACAGACAGGAGTGCTGTAAGCTTTGCCTTCAACCCAACCAAAAAAACATATCATCCAACTAGACAGCAAAGGAAGTGTTTCTGATTGGCTAAAAGCAATGTAGTTCAATCAATCATGTTAATTTTCCCTGAGAGTGGCGTTACCGGTGGCGTTGCAGTGCATGGTGACGCTCTGACCCTCCACGGCTGTGAGATCTGTGTTTGAAACCGAGGCCTGAGGAGCTGAGGCTCCGCCCTCCAGTTCTAGCTCCACCCTCCCCTCAGCATGCCCCTCCCCACTCTGAGCGCGGCACACAAATCTCCCAGCATCCTCTGCTGCCATCACGGTCACCTTCAGGAGGCAAGTGAGAGAGAGAGAGGCGAGAATGAATCCTAAAATGACCAAATGTGAAATATCACATACAATCTGCAAGCAATCATATCATTACCAATTGGCACAAGCTGATTGGAAATCTAGATATTTATAACTCTTAAAGTTATAAATTAACTTTACTTAACTCTATAAAGCCATAACTTTTCCAAGAGTTGCTGTAATTGAATTATATTTTTACACCTGTAGTAAGGCAGTGGTGTCTGTTGTCATGGAAACCATCTCAGTCTCACTTCCTTCTTCCTGTTTGAACCAGCTGACAGAGGGGCGTGGCTTCCCCGAGACGCTACACTCGAGGGTCACGCTTTGGCCCGCGCGAACCGTCAGCGGCCCGGACGGCGTCACGCGCACCTCCGGCGGCTCTGAACCAAACACAGTGCACCTCATTATCGATTTAAGATGAGTGCAACTTTCCTTCCGTGGCCACTTTAACATGTGAGGAACGCATTGGACTCACGTCTGATGCTCAGGGTGGCAGTGTTGGTGGATTTCCCCTGAGCGTTGGTGGCTATGCAGCGATACCCGCCCTGGTTATGGATACCGGCGTTCACAATGGTCAGGACAGCACCATCAGGTCCAAGCTTCACGTTATCTGTGACAGAATACAGCAGAACAGGTAAACCCATTAAAGCCATAATCTGATGTGTCTCCTGTCTAATGGCATTATAAATGCTCTTCTTCCTTAAACATCCATGGAATGTGTTCATTCCACAAAGGTTCTTTGGATTTTTTAAATCTTCTTCACACTAAGATAAAAAGATTATTTTACAAACTGATCGCTGAAAGGTTCTTTGGGGAACCCTTCTATGGAAACCTTTTGGAAGCTTTATTTTTAGTTTATTGCTCAGATTTTGTTATTTCATCACTCTGGAGACTTAATGGAGCTTCTTATTCATTTAAGTACCAACTTCATCTCAGATGTTTCTCCTACAATAGCACAACTCGTTTGCTCTCATTCATCATTTGCTTTTGGAAGAATTTGATAAGAAAAGAGAGTTTTGATCACAGACTTTGGTTTCTTTATGAATCCTGAGCACACATTGATCTAGAAGAGACATCCCAGACAGCAACATGGTGTCGGCCCAGATCCGGCCCACATCTGGGCCGTGTGGAATCCACGTGTCCAACCAAAACTGTGTTGGTGTGTGTGATACTCAACATTTCATTTGCATTTAATACGAGTTAATTCAGAGCATTAATAAGTTTTAAGGGTTATATCTCTTAATTATTTTTTAAAAATCTGAGAAACAAATGGTGTGTGTTTTAATAATCTTACTCCGCAAAGTTTTTTTTATGCGGTTTTGTTTTAAAGATTTTTTTTACGAACTGTTTCCGGCTCAAATTTGACTTGAATGCAAGAGGAGTGTTTTAAGGCTGTTTCCCGTTTGGCTGGGTGATTGAGTGTGTGTGTTTTCTGAGCTGGTTATAGATGAGCGTAACACACCTCCCAGCGGCTGGTTGTTGGTCCTCTTCCACTCCAGCTGGACGGACTGGGATCCGCTCGTCACACGGCACTGGAAGCTCACGGTGTCGCCGGGTTTCACCGCGGCCGTTCGCGGTCGGACCGACACCATGGGACTCTGACCACACACTGATGTGAGCACACAACATAATGCTTGAGTCAAACACACATTCACACATTTCAGCTTACGACTCAATGCTTCTCACTGTACGTTAGATCAGGGGTTTCAATGTTTCAGAGGCCACGGGCCCCATATGAGCATCCTCGCGACGGACCCCATATTTATGAGGATTTCAGATATATTTTCTGTTCCACAGTAGCAAACAGGAAAATTACAGAATTAAAGATGCACTCTTCAAATATGACACAAAATATACCAATTGAAAGTGTTATTTGAAGAAAGTGTTTTTTTTTTCTACTATGTAATGTATTGGTAAATATATTTGTTGCTGTTTACTTATTACTTAAAAAAAATATTTTGGTTATTTTAATCATATTTTATTTTTATACTTATTGATCTCACTAACTAACTAATTAATTAATTTATAGGAATATATTTATTTGATTAATTTTACATATTTTTTTTTTTGCACAGTTTTTACATATTTTATACTTTCCCACAGAATTGTTTCATTATTTGTTCATTTATTTTTAGTCTTTTACACTGTTTTCCTCCACTGAGTTAGACGACATGATTAAGAAAATCTTTTTTTTTTTTTTTTAATTTCAGATATGACTGATTTCCTTGTGGAGTGTTTGTCAGATGAACCCTGAACTTCAGTCCTGCTCTGCTAAACAAACGCAAGTAAATCAAACTCCACACATGCTGTTTTTGGGACCACAGAATCCCTTGATGAGTAAACTAAACCACAGATTTGATCACATTTATTTAAAAGTGACTGTATATTATTCTATATACAGAATATTAGAAAACAAAGCTGTGAACATCTTAATTTAATGTGACGTGTGTCCCACAAAGTCAAAAAAAGAGCGGTGTCAAAAAAAGAAATAAAAAGTTAAAATATTTGCAAATAAACACATTATTACAAGGAAACCAATACAAAGATTGAAACTAGCATATGAAAATATATTTTCATTAACAAAAAAACACAAAAAATGAAAATAAAATGTGCAGTTTTGCTGTCAATATTGGATGGTGTGATTTAATCAGTCTCAACAGACTATCACTGTATTTTGTAAAAAAAAAAATAAAAAAAAATAACAACAGACAGTGAAACAAAACAAATAAACAGACAAACACCAGAAAAGTCAGTTAAACGAAGCGGCCGTCTGAGAAACAACGGATCAGTGTTCACTGTTTTCTGATTAATGTAATTAAATGTGGCGCTGCATTATAAGTGATCGTTTAACTTCACTAACAGAAAACAACTCAAACTGAGACAAGATGCAAACAGAAACAATTACAACTAACTTACCGGAAGAGTGAAAATACAGCTTTTCAAGTTTTCTAAACTGAAATCTTTGGGATACACACCTTTAAAAAAAAAACTGAAATAAAAGAAGGAGAGAAAGTGCTTCACCTGTGTGCAGGACGGCCGAGAGAATCAGCGCTGCGGTTTGAACGTTCATGATGGACTGGAGATCTCTCTCTGTCTGACCACTGTTTTACACTCCTCTCTCTCTCTCTCTCTCTCTCTCTCTCTCTCTCTCTCTCTCTCTCTTTCTCTCTTTCTCTCTCTCTCTGTCACACAATCTACAGACACACACACACACACACACACACACACAGAGACAGAGCTTATCTGTTTCATTGAACTCAGTGTAGCATCAATAACTGCTGTCTTGTGTTTCCGTGGGTCATGTTTTGCTTTGTGGGAACCAACCAGCGAACACAAAAACGTTTTAAGAACGTTAAAGAAAACGTTACGAATTTACTCTGAATGTTCAAGTCATGTCCAGTTTTTGCTGGCTATGCAAATGTTAAAGAAACATTCTATTTTATCTCTATTTTAAACGTTATGTTACTTTTAAATGTTCTCTGAACGTTCCGAAACAAGCTAACATTTAAAAAAATGTTACAAGTAAATGTTTCAGGTAAAATAGTTCCATGAACAATGAATAAATAACGATTTTGAAAACCAGATTAAATTTAATGAACATTCTATTAATTTTATGTTTGTTCAGAGAACCTTGAGAGAACGTTCCTGTGAGCTGTAATTATGTGCGCGACCTGCAAATCCTGCGTTCACCACGATGAATACTGGTGGAGTCAGATTCATAACGGGACTAAATAACACATCTAAACATGTCAAGCATACAGGATAATTATATCAATTTAACAACCACAGGAGTTTATGCAGAAGTGCAAAATGTCTTCTTGTAGGCGTAACGTTTAGTTTAGATTACAGTCATTATAATTCTCTTTATACAAAAACAATAGCCGTCTTCAATGGCTGATTAAACATGTAGTGTGTATGTTTTAGAGACTGATTGAAACTAAACAAAAATCACAATAAGATGCAGATCTGCGGAGAAGAGCCTGAGAACATGTGATGCACTGAAATCCAGCAATACTTGTCAGTAGGAGATCTTTAAGATTATTTTAAACAAACACGTTTTAGCACACAACATTACAATGAAGTGATCAGAAACAATTACAATAATATAGTCTATTAATTACAATTTATTTTTAAATATGTACGGCCGAGCCACCAGCTAATATTTCATGGTGAGGCGAATGTAGGCATGATAAAGGCTGTGTGTTTGTGTGTAGGGTTATTTATCGTTTGGATTTTATTATACCGGTGCCAAATGAACACTTATAAAACCTAAAAGTAAACTGTTACTGTTATTTAGCGTTATTTAGTGTCTGTTAAATTATTGTAAATGGGTATAATTGGTGTTTTTACGGTAAATTTGTTGAGTTTTGTATTTCCTTATATTTATATAGTTATGTATACTTTAAACTTTTAATATATTGTTCATTTTAAAGAGTTTTTAAATTCTTTAATGCCATCCACCATCGTTTTGTGGCTCTTTTTTTGCCATAAAACACTGAATAGTTGTGATATATGACAATAAGTGCTTATCACGTCAGCCAACGCACAAAAGCTAAATTTGAATTTAGCATTTGGTCACGTAATCCACTGAACTTTCTAATCACACCGATATGATCGTACAAGTCAAAGGGTTAAGTGTCACCGAAACGGTACACACCGCTCATATAGGTGCCATATTGGCACTGGGTTTCGGTACCCAACCCTACAGTATATGACCCTACATGGGTTGGTCCATGGGTTTAATTAGCCCCAGTATGGGTTACTTTACATAGGACCAACATAAAACCCATTTTGCAATCCCACATAAACAGAATCTACAAAACTACAAATATTGAAACCCAATAAACAGCAGCCAGAACATGCTAGCACACTGTACTACTCACCTAAACCTCAATATAAACTAACAATGAACACCTACTGTGTGTGCTCATATTTTAGTGTTTATAAATGGTTTGGGGGAATAGCAGCCCAAATTTATCATGCCACTAAAATGTATTGAAATAGAAGTTAAAAAGATGAGTGTTGAACTGTGTGTCTGATCTGGTGTTTAAAGAGTTTCGTCATCTGCAAACACAAGTCCAGAGTCTGACTATGAGCTTGTGTGTGTGATCACATGGGCAGGACTTTAAATCAAGGATAAGAGCACGTATCAACAGGAATAAACGAAGAAGAAAACCATTCAGAAGATCTGAGAGAAAATCTAAAATTTCTCCTCAACTACATTGAGATAAGAGCTATACTCATGTTTGTCTATTTTACCCCCCGAGAGTGTCAAAGAATCAGTTTTTATCTGGTAAATCCAACGCTATCTCACGACCTATTCATACGCAAGAATAAAAGGTGGCGAATTCATACGACCACACTCGTACAAATTCGTATGATTTGCCTAAACCCCGGTGATGCGTAGGTTAAGGGGTGGAGTCAGTGGCTATTCGTACGTAAACTATGTAAGATTTAGCAAAAATCATATGAATTCGTACGAATTAACCAGCTCATGAACTCTCGCAACTGACACTGTTCTCATGCTCTCATTCAACACGTCTGTTTTCTCTCTCAGTGATATAAAACATCTCAGAGCAAACAGGACACTGACACCGACAGACAAGACAGAGCAGGACATGAAACAAGGTTTTAATTACGAAATTAAAACAACGAATTATGTTTTCTTAACAAAGTTCAGGATCAACACGCTCAAATTATCTATCTAATAATCACATCATTCCAACCAGCTGTTAACAACCAGTAATCAACATGTCTCAACAGTTTCAGCATCCCTTCACCCTTGAATCTTGCCTAATGTTTCAAATGTGGAAAGACGTCAATTAAACAGCTTGTAAACAACATGTAGCATTACATTTACCTCATAAAAACAGAAAAAAATGAACACTAGTATTTTGTAAAAGCACAACATTACATATTTATAATAATAATTGCCTTATGCAATTGCATACTAATCACTAATAATCAGTAGTTAATTTTAAGCTTAGTTTTTATTTTAATAATGATGTAGGCTACCAGCTGACAGGGTTCCCTGTTTACAGTATTGGTTCAGAGATTTTTAAGAGAAAAATGAACATACACTGTTTACTTTAGCAATCTTTGTTTCATGGAAATGCCAATGGTGACTGTTCAAAAATGGGAAAAAGCACACTCAAGTTGTGTGCAACTCATCCATAAGTAATGTAATCGAACAGTAACACATGCAATATTTCATTTCTAACAAATGCTTTGGTTGCTATTTCTCAAACTGTTTCTGATTGGCTCCAAACCACATTGTTGTTTCTGTGCAGGGTTTTACCATGCATTTTTCTTCTTAGAAAAATCACAGACTACTTCATGAAACTCCTCCCTGAATTCTGAATAGAACAGGTATAACAGGTAGAACAGCTAAAGCTGAAATCAAAACCACACGGCAGCTTTCCATCGGCAAGGAAAGAGAATGAAACTTAAACATTGACTAGCAGGATAGTTTTCATGGTAAGTATATGTTTAAACTACATGACATGTTAGCACTTTAGTTTTAAACTAAAAGTACGTTACACCTTAACCATCTGTGTAGGATTAACCTGTCCGCACCTTATTTGAGGTGGAGTGGGTGCGGCAAGACTTTGTCATACAGAGACCGTGACTTTAATTAACCAGAGCAATCTAATTGATGTAAGCGTCAAGTTTGATTACTTTCACAAAGTATTGTCACAGATTTAAAATGACAGTTTTTGTATGTAAAGTTTTTTTTATGTTGCACTGTAAACCAGTTTTTCTGGTCGTTGTTGTTTTTAGGGTGAACTCACATGATCGGATCTGAGAGTTTAGTTTTACACACGTTAGATTGTTGGTTTTTGTTACTGTAATTGTTCAAAAATTAAAAGTAAAAAATAAAAATTAAACTTTAAAGTTGATGCTACATCTATAGTATGTATGAGGGCTTTAATAAATTAATTTATCACAAATTAACACAAAAACATGTGTTATTAATTGGTCACAACCCTAGTCTTAACTTATTAATGAACATTAGGGGTGTAACAATACCCTCATGTCACGATTCGATACATATCACGATACTGAACTCACGATACTCCAAAAATATGTTGATTGTCACTATCCACCATACATATTGTTGTATTTTTGTATTGCGATATATTGTGACACGATATATTGTTACTCCCCTAATAATTTAAAGCAGCTGTTATTGGCCAAAATATAATTTAGTTTTAGTGACCTTAGATGAATGATGCCCCAATTATTTCATGTTTGTTTTGTTCTTAATGGAAAATTTGAATTCCATAAATTGTGTTGCCTATTTTTTTTATAAGGAATGAAAAGCAGCAAAATATTATGTTTAAAACTAATGTCTATGAGGGGCTGGACGATAAGGACGCTGCCTCTAAAATGAGTCTAAATGAGGAGAGTGAGGCGAGGGACACTGCAGCCTCTCCAGAACCCAGCGGTGTGTCTATAAAGCGTCGTACATCTATAGTTATGCCTCCTAATATCAGTGATGAAGCAGTGACCTCTGACCCCAGGTAAGACAAACATTGATATTGAATAGACCTCATTTAACAATACATAAATTGAGATTAACCGAGTGATTCGATCTCATTAGGCTAAAGAATCACAAACCAGCCTCTCCAGAACCCAGATGTGTGTCTATGAAGAGTAGTACATCTATAGTTATGCCTCCTAATTTCAGTGATGAAGCAGTGATCTCTGACCCCAGGTAAGACAAACACTGATATTGAATAGACCTCATGAAATACATAAATTGAGATTAACCAAGTCATTTGATCTCATTAGGCTAAAGAATCACAAACCAGCCTCTCCAGAACCCAGCGGTGTGTCTATGAAGAGTAACACATCTATAGTTATGCCTCCTAATATCAGTGATGAAGCAGTGACCTCTGACCCAAGGTAAGACAACCTCTGACATTGAATAGACTTTGACATGAAATGCATAAATGGAGATTGAGTACTTTGGTGATGGTGAAGCTTTACAAAGCAGAACACAGCTGTGTGACCCCTGTTATCGAAATGTTATTCTTAAGTTATTTGTTGTGAGTTTGCAATAAACCACGTTGACCAAACCAAGTTTTATTTTTGCAAGAAAGGAATTCTGTAAGAAATTACAGCA